AATTACCATTATGACTGTTATATAACTCTTATTTAACTACTTTTTGCCCGTGGCTCCGCTCAAAAACCGCGTACAGTATAAGTCGATAAAAATAGCTTATATGTTAATATCGATATCTCCATTATGGGTTTCAAATCTGCCACAACTTCAAAATATAACAAACATCCATTCTCTTAAAAACATTCCCATATGAGTAAAAACTTTATATTTGACAAACAGATTTCTCCATACCAGTCTGAAAAAAGTTTTACCTAAGTGCATGACAGTACCGCTTTCCATCAGGTGGGCTGTGTGCTCGTTTGTCACTGAATACCATAAAAAAAGTGAATAAATCTTTCATGGTCCTAAGTATACACGTTGTACATAATGCAAATACACAAAGTCTTAGATTTACCCTTTCAACAATTTAAAGATAAGATTAAGAATATATTAGTGAGTAAAGCATTTAAAACACTGTACAAATTTTTTTTGTTGACGTAAATGTAAGATGAATTGACTCATATAGCTATATAAAACATTGTTAATAGGTTTTTAAAGGAGCAACTTTTAAATTTCTCGTCGGTTCTACTCAGAACTGCCTTCCGAGCCGGTGATAGCTTCCTCACGAACCGACCGTAATGGATATTATCTTCAAATGTGTTTGTACTGTGTACAGGTATAATTGAATTTAGTTAATTTTCATTTTCGTTTTTTATGTTTTATTTCAATATGAGTAAATAGTTCGACTAAGAATCCTGGGAGATATGAGATGAATATTTTAGATGACTTAATAACAAATAACTTACATAAACCAATAAATAAACTATCTACAATGTTTTTGGAAGAGCCGCACACGCGTTGGAGTCCTTTACAAGGAACATTTTGTTAAAGGATCCTACGGTCCTTCTAACTTAAATAAAACTTCTGTAGTATTTGTTTCGCGATGTTAGTTTATTTTTACTACAAATTAATTCTAATACAGTATGCTTATCATTCAAAGTATTATAATGACAATTTACCATATTATAATAAAGTAGGATATGGATAAGTAAAAAAATAAAATAAAAATTATTAAGAGGAAGGTAGATATAAAATATTAAGTAGATAAAAAAAAATTTTTTTTACGAATTAACTGCAGTTTTCTTGAAAATGGAATATATATTTTTATTTCGTATCTTTTTATTTATTGTAACTATTTAAAAAAACAACTTATTACTAAAACAAATAAACAGAATTAAACTTGGCTGTAAAAGTTGCGACCCATAACGGTTTTAATACATAAAAATTTACTTTTTGCTACGATACGAATCGTGTTCGTGATGTAGACATTAAAAATAACGTTTAATTTATGCATCATGTAAGTAAAAATGACTTATTAAAATAACAATTTTGCTAATTCAGCGTCTCTATGACTGCTATAATAATAATCTATTTTGTAAAACAATAGGTGATACGTTAGCGTTATTAAAATATTTTTTTATTGCAAAATTATTTAACCTTATTTAAGTTTATTAACATTTACGTATATATTTCATATACGTATACTATTTAAATAATAAATAAATAAATAGGTACATGGGGTTAAACTTTATATGAAAATCAAAACATCAAAAAATGTTTTCATTTAGTACTTAGTATTTTTTTTAATTAAGAACAATAAAAAATTTAAAAAAAACTTAACAAGAATTTCTCTTTCGAACTGCCTTTCGAGCCAGTGGTATAGTCCTCACACACATCTATAATACTCATAATAAAATTGTAACTAAGCCGAATCTGTATATTAAATATTATTTGGAAAATCTTATTAAAATAAACATTATTATCGATACAAAGGCCGAATCTAGTTTTTAGAATTTTTGTCTGTCTGCCTGTTTGTTATTGCATCACGGAAAAACCACTAAGAGGGATTTTGATGAAATTTGGTATGGTGATAGCTGGTTATCCGTGTCAATATATAGGATACTTTTTACTGCGGGAAAATATTTCATACATCTCTGAGAAAACTATACTAAACGTTAAAACATAAGTAGGGGCGAACCCACACGGACCGAGGGTAAGTCGCTAGTTTACTTTAAATGTAAAAACTGACATTTAATAAGTGCTTAAAGCAATCTATTTAAATTAAGTATATTATAATTTGATTAAAAATATGGTCTATCTAGAAGCATTCATTGTGGATGATAAGTTTGTCTAATAAGATTTAAATAGCAAATGGCACCACAGGCAACAGTTGTCGCCCATATCATATAATATATACGAATATTTTGTCATAACCAAGCATATTTGGTGTAAATTACAAGTAACACTATAGGAATAATTGCGTAAAAGTAAGTAATAAGACACGTGGTATTTGACAATCTATTTATTGCGAAAACCTTAACGTATTAACATTCCATTTATAAATATGCACTGTATAAATATTTATTTTGTATCTTATAATATAATTAAATAGGAATCTTCGAAATATACAAAATACAAATGTTTTAAGGCAATTTTATATCACAATACTGGTTTTGGAAGGTATTTTGAACCATTTAAATATACAACAAAAGTTTTCATGCAAGAAACAAAAAAAAAGATCGGATCTTCGCTTAGCTAACGCAGATCGCAAATTTGATAAGATATATTCTACACGAATTTGTTATTATGTACAAAAATACTAAATTTTCGTTGCAATAATAGTAAAAATGTTCATATTCTGTATGTATATACTATAATTTTTACTCTTACTATTGCAAGTGTAACGGCAACGTCCCTGGCACTGTTCTAAAATAACTAAAACTTAGCTTAAACCGCAACAATTAATCTCATAATTGTATTAAATTACATATAATTAATTTGACTATATTATATTATGCTTAGATTGATAACGTTATGTCAATACGTCTTTTTATAAATAGAAGTAGATACCAAGTTTTAACTTTCACAATTTGAAAATATATATATCAGTATTAGTATTAGTATTTTTATGTAGGAACAGATCTATGTATGTTATTTTTACATAGATATCTATAGGTATGTTAAGATGTGACCTCTAATTATAGTAATCGTCTTATCATTAACGATAAAAATCCTTTATTTTAAATGGGGATTACAAATAAAGTATTATTTATAATAAAGCCGTATTCAGATAACACAATTTTATGTATAAAATACATTTTATAAAAAAGTATAGTGACAGAGGTAAATATATATCTAAATTGTGCTGAAAAATACTCAGTTCAATAAGGCACATGCTATTGACACTATATAATACTATAATACCATATAAGATACGAATACATTGGTTAAGTACATTACAAAGCGTAAAAATATTCTACTTTCTAAATTTCAACACTAAGGCCTGCAAAGTGCCGGTGAAGGATTATTATCAAAGTGAGATATCTTTTAAAAGAGCTTCCTAACAAAACAATGACTTTTGAAACTAATTCGAAAAGATCTGAAAATAGGGTGATATATATATATGAGTAACAATGATATTCAGGTGTTAAATGAAAATAAAACAGCCCGGTGAAGACTGGCTTATTTATTACTTAGCTTTACATATATGGCAAACCGTCTAGTTCAAAGTATTAAATGCCAAATGCCTCAGGTTCACGTTATGTTAGAAAATATATAAGTTATAAAATAATATTAACAATCAAGACTTTTTCCGCTGAAACGTTACCGCTTCAGATAATGAAACTAATTAGATACTCTCTTTGGGCCTCAAAAGGCCTCAACCTGACTGTCAATTGCAGTAAAGAATAATAATTCACTTATCCTACCTTGATAATAGTCCTTTTGAATACTTTTGAAATAATTTATATTTAGACTCATGTACTTGTTGAAAATATATGAAAAATAATATAAAATGCATTTTTGTATGGTTATTTGTATCTTACGTAGAACTATGTTTGTAAATAAAAATAATATTAATCAATTTCATGTTTCATTTAAATATTAAAAAGTACGAATTTGTACTTCCTTGGATATGACCTTTTTTAATAACGTGATTTATAACAATAAATATTGTACTTAAAAAAACAATTTTTTTTTCATGTCTCTCTTAGCTTCTATTATCTACAAAGATTTTTCGAAAATTTAATTCAAACACTGTTTATTTATTTTAATTTCAAGCTATTGAATTCAGTTTTAACGCATGTGAAAGTATTTCTCAATTTAATAAATTATACAAGCCGGCAGTCGGATAATTGCGATCGAAAGTATAATAATAGCTAAGAGCCACCGCACATTGGTAATGTTTTAGCGACAAGTATTGCAAATTATATCAGAATACATACATTTATATATAAAAAATATTATTGATCGATTAAAAATCGACAATGTGTGGTCTAAAACGGTATAACGTAATTTTTTAAAAGTAAATAAATATCTTAACATAATTCAGTCGAATTTTAAAAATGACTTTCATGAAACGATAACGTGACACCCAAAATAAGATAAGGGAAACGAGGATAGAGTTTCTAGATATCGATTTTTCTTTACAAATTGCTCTTTCCATATTGTTTCCCAGAGCGATTATAGCTACGTGTGAATCAATTAAACTACGCGAGAGTGCTGTAAAAACACTTTTTCAACAAATATCGAACAATAGGAAGAAACTGTACTCACGTATGTCGCTTTCCACGAGATAAGTAACCATTATTTGCATTGCTTTGGAAATGGTGAAAATTTTCCACTTTTAAAATCGATAATGGCATCCAATCGATTCATACCAAAATGGTTAAAAAACATCATAAAATTGGGAATTACAATCCAAAACGGTATACGTATAGGAAAAATTCAAATCTAATCCACCAGAATTACTTACAAAGCATAACACATTCCGTTTGAAAATACTAAAAAAAATAATCGTTCTTTACACGATCGTAAATCAATTGGACGTGGGTTGAATATACGTTCTTTATCCAATTACACGTTGTAATGCAAAAACGGTTCACTCGTCAAACTGACGTTACACTTAACTCGCTCGCGATTTGAACTGACGTCACACCATGTATACCGTTATTCTACCACTAAGCAGCTCCTGCTTCTTGCTTTTGTTGGATTATGGATTCCCACTGTGCTATAAGACGAGTTGAACTGGGAGCTAGAAACTCTTGACCAGGACCTAGTTCACACAATTGGGCCAACGATTTAGCTGGCTTCAAACTGCCCAAAGATTCATTGCCAGAACTATTTCTAGGTGATGGCGATCTGAGATCTTCATTCAAAGCCTCATATAATTCGCCTATGGATTTAGTAGGTTTCAATTTGCCGGGTAAAGGAATGTCTTCTTCGTCAGATTCTGATGTAGTTTCATTATCGCTCAGTTCTATATCGAAAGGTTTTTGTTTCTTCCGCATCTTCTTTAACTCATGTTCTCTATCTTTCATCTCCTGTAATTCTTTTTGTATCTTTTCTTCGACAGGTACGTAGCCTTTGCGTACAGGTTTGCCTTCTGGTGTACGATTTATAATTGCAGGGGAAGTAACTGGTTCCATTTTGGGAGAGAACATAAGTGGTTGCTGGATTATAGCAGGAGGCGTAGTCGCTCCTGGTGATGTCACGGGAAGTTTTCCTTTATTTGCTATAAACCTTTGCATAATCCCTTTTGTGCCAGTTTGAGGCGTGAATCGCCGGGTGTAGCCATTAGTGTTAAGTAGCGTTGGCGTAGGTGGAGGCGAGGGTGCGATAGGGCCGAGCAGGTGCGATGTAGAGACTGCTCTGTTCAATGTTGTTGGTCTTTCAGCATTTCCGTTGACATGGCCATTTTGTTTCGTCATGTCAATTGTGGATTCTGATAGAAGCCTATTAATTCTAAAGTGTCCTTCCTTAAATTCTCGTTCTCTTTCTGTCACTTCAATTATTTCTCTTTGGATTCTAGATAAAGGGTCCTCTTTCAGCATTGACTGTAAAGAAAAAAATCAGTTAAATATTGTTTAGTGAAATGTGTATTTTTTAAATTTTATTACTAAATATCAGTCGATGTTATAATTTTGCAATATGACCACATATTTAAGACCTTCGTAAATACATAAAAACGTGATAAAATAAGCAAATAAATGAAACAACATAGTGTTTATCAGAACTAAAATAACTTCGTAAAACTCGACTGTAACCTAGTTAAGTAACTGACAGGTACCGAGTATGTAATATTTTTTACGAGTAGGTATGTCTGGGTCTTTACCGACGTCTCTGCCGTACTGGTTCGTATTGACCTTACGATATGACACAAATACAAGAACACGTCTATAGTTGATTGCAACCGCACTTTAAGTTTATACGATTATAGCCAATATGGGTTTAAATGAAATTACAGTTGGTTACTTTATACATTTCTATTAAAAAATAATATAATCATTAAAAAGCATTCGCTTGATTTATTATAAGCATTAAATTGTTTACAAATTACTTAAAAGTAGATATTTTCCTTTATATGATTTTTATTAAAAACGTATGCCACAAAACTATCAAACCAAACTGACTGACTGCCGAACTCAAAACAAATTTGCGAAAAAATCCGAAAAGATGGTTTTATTTAAAATTTCAAGTATTCGCGTAAATCTAAGAAAGTATTATGACTGACTACCAAATCACCTAAGTCAAAATTGGGTGTTTACTCTGCAAATTGAAGGAATATACCTAATTTTTGCCCTTCGACGAAAACGTGACAGTGCCGAATGTCGCTCTACATTTATCATTTAAATAACCTAACAAAAGATTACTTTAATTTATCCGATTAGGTTTTAGTATACGATATTTTTTACAAAATTGACATTTATGTCAATGTTCCATATATTTATTATCTTAGATTGGATACAAAATCTAAAAATCGTCACCTAAGTCACAGATCAAGTAGGTAATTGCTTGGATTGTATACTAAGTATTAACATCATAAAAAATCGTGACTGGAAAATATAATTCCGTATCGACAAAATGAGTCACAATATTAATCATTTACATTATTAGAACAGATGATCAAATTAAATTATAGTGATATTTTTGTACCTTTTATTTATCCATCTATACATGTAATAAAATTCTGAGTCGAATCTGTAGGTACATTAAATATTTGGAAAATCTTATTGAAATAGTCATTATTATCGATATAGAGGCCGAATCTATAGTTTTTAGAATTTTTGGCTGTCTGTCTGGGAACGCATCACGAGAAAACTACTGGACAGATTATGATGATATTTGGTATGATGATAGCTGAGTATTCGGGTCAACATATAGGGATACTTTTTACTGCGGGAAAATATTATATCTTTGATAAATCTATACTAAAGGTTAAAATGTTCTTACTCTAAAACTCGAAACTAACCCGAGCGGAGCGAGGGTGAGTCGCTATATACCTAAATATTAGTAGATATACCGTATAGATAACAGATGTTTTAAGGTAATGTTTTTATGTAAGCATAAAAGCAGCAATCTGTTTATTTGAAATTATTATAAGTATTATTAAACAGACGTAAATATTATTAGGAATACTAATCCATAAATTTTAAAAATGAAGTCACTAGTTAAATTGACCGTGTTTCATAAACATTTAAAATGAGAGAAATATAAGTCGTTTTTTATTGCTGTGGCATTAGTTATTACTTTTATAGGTAAAAAATATTATAGGGGAATCCCCCATTACACCGATGAAGAATACCTTGGTCTACATTGGTTATTTATCTATACATATAATAAAATTATAACTAAGCTGAATCTGTACATTAAATATTTTTTGGAAAATCTTATTAAAATAGACATTATTTTCGATACAGAGGCCGAATCTGTAGTTTTTAGAATTTTTGTCTGTCTGTCTGTCTGTCTGTTACCGCATCACGGAAAAACCACTGGAGGGATTTTGATGAAATTTGGTATGATGATAGCTGGTTATCCGGGTCAACATATAGGATAATGTTATTGCGGTAAAGTATCTCATTTCTGAGAAATCTATACTAAACGTTAAAACGAGCGAAGCGAGGGTGAGTCGCTAGTATGTAAATATAAATGAGGTAAGTAGCTTTGAATGTATAAATAAACTTAAGTATTTGACTATTTACTTATCCTATTCTGAAAATTCTTTTTCTAATAGGAAGCCAAAATATCCGATATATTGATTAGGAAGGAAGGAATATACCTAGAGGGCCTAGGACAAGTGAGCTAGGTTACCTATTTTAGTTTAAGTACCGATTGAAAACAAATTTCCATCGTCTGATTTTTTAAGTCTTTAAATATACTTAAGTATCAGATAAGATTATCCAACCAAATGTTGAAGGAAAAAATCGTCAATTATAAGTGATAAGGCCTCCTTTAGTGATCGTTCATAGGTACCTACTTTATTTATCTATTTTAATGTTATTACTCTGGTACACAATAGTGTATATAAAGAAAATAAAGATTATCTAATTCTAAGTTTTGGCTTTAAAAATCTCCTTTTGTATTGTCAACAAACATTCCTTCCCGTTTTTACTTTCTACAGAAACAAATTACGTGCATAGTAAAAAATTACATTTATTATTTTGAAATTTAATTTGTTTTTACTTGCTAGTGACGTCAGCGGTCAGAGCGACCTTCTTCAAATTGATTAATTATTCTGATAGTTCTTTTTCACCTCAATTTTCCTTTATTAAGTTTCTCAAGGTTTTATCAGGCCAAGACTAGCAATCTTGATGAGTAGGAAAACTTATGATTTTATTAAATATTTATGCCTAGTTTTTAGTACTTTGTCGTATGCACATAATGATCTAGCGAAATAATTATTGGTGAGGGTATTTTATTTTTTTATTTAAAAAAGTTTATACATACAAAGTGCTAAAATATACTTCCTTCCCACAAGTTTTTATTATTATATAATTTAATAATACGGTTAAGATAATTCATTTGATATATACGTGAACATATTAAAAACAAAAATAATGGTGTAATTAACAATTATCTTAATTCTCAAGTACTCAGAATTCAGATAAAATATTTAATTGGTCTTGATAAATGAAATGGAAACAATCGATAGTCACGTTATTACTTATTAGCGCTAATACTAAGAAAAGATAAGGCAAAGTCCGCTTAATTTTCTAACGTACCCAATAAATAAAAAAAAATACCGAAGATATGTATCGCCTTATCAGATGTATAACAGTACACCGCTAATCTCGAGCGCAAGTCGATGTCGTAAAAAAGCTTTCTACCAACCGGCATACATTCCAAAACTTGCACAATTATTTGCCGTATGAAAGTAATTAAATCCGACACGCGAGCTAGCTAGTGACCATCCGAACGACGACCTACGAACCCGATTGTTCGAACTGCTTTAAAAAAAGAGCCTCAATCTATATATTACTTACTTCGCCCATGTTGAAAACTTGAATAACAATCCGATAAAACCAAATATCCACAATTACACACACATCACGAGTCACGACACTTGCCACGGCTGTAAACCAATTGAAGTATAAAACTAAGAAATATAATAATAACGCGTCAAGAATCGCTCGCAGGCTAACGTCCTCTGCTACGTTTTGTTAATTGGCGCGAAAGAGATAGTGTTACCTGTGATGTTGCCAGTGTTATTTCCTTATAGTTGCGTACATATATTTTTTAATACCTTTAATATTAGACTCGTTCATGGTTATACTATAATATACATAAACAATACAAATCACATGTACTAGAAAAGTAAATTAAATTTATATTATACTTTGAAACGCATAGGTACAAATATATTAATTTACGTTCAACAATAGATACAATCAGTGTTAAATAAAAATCTTATCCAAATAAGAAATTTGGCAATAAAACAACGCTACCCTGTAATCTAGGATAAATTCGAGAGTATAGCAACACAACTTACCTATAGTAAAAAGTTTGGTACCTGATACTGTTTTACCGACAACGACAGTCACTTCAAAGTTCGAGACTCAAGTTACTGTTTTATCGACACAGTTTGAAACTCGAGCGCGGATTTACGCGCCGCTGAATTTGGAAGGGAAAAGGGCTGTTTCGGGTAGCTAAATGAAACCAAGTGAGACGAAAGCGAAACAAAAAAGGTTATCATATTTGAATAAAAAATTATCGAGGTAAATAAAAATTTAATGTATCTAGGTAATAACGAATAAAATTCATTGTTTAAATGGAATAAATTGGTTTTGCTTAGTAAGTATTATTGCTCTTTATTACAATAATTAAACAATGTGTCGTAAAATGTATAAAACAATATTTATCGCCTAGAAGAGAAGTAAGTACGATTTCATCGAATACATTTCGACTATTTTTAGATATTTTCAATAAAAATATAAACTTAGAAAAATCATATATTATATGACTGAGATTTTCATAATGCTAAAAACTTAATAAATAGGTTTTTTTGCTTCTACTCACTAATAATACACTCATGACTAGTATTTTTATTAGCACTTCAGTCTTTAAGCTACTTAGCTATAAGGTATAGGTTTGGGCAGCAAAGTTTTCAATGATGGTTTAAAATTGATATCCATATGGCTAGCCCTTAAATGACGAGAGAGGTCACTGGTCCGGAAAAATCTACGAGGGCAATGCTGACAAATATATGGGGTGTGATTAGTATGTTGTTTTAATAGATGAAATTCTAACATGGTGGCTGTTGGGAAGGTTTTTATGCAGTCACCAATGGAGCATTTAAATTTGCCAGCATTTTCGTGTTTAAACATCATGTGATGTGCGAGACTCCGTTTCACAGCAAATGCGGCATTACAAATGCCACAAATGTATGGTTTCTCCCCTGTATGTTTTCGCATATGAACCTCTAAGTCTGAAAATGTTTTTAAACATACAGAACACTGTCCTGATTTTTCAGAATGAATTCGGCGAATATGAGTTTGCAAATTGCCTTTCATAGCAAATGCCATTCCACAAAAGCTACAAACATTTTGCTTTTCATTAGTATGAAGACCGATATGAACATTTAATGCTGTACGGGATTTCATTGACTTGTTACATAAATGGCAGGAATACTTCTTCTCATCACTGTGTACACTTTGATGTTTTTTAACAAGACTTTTGTGGGCAAATGTCTTATTGCATACAGGGCATGGGTAAGGTTTTTCACCAGTATGGACTCTTTGGTGGCGGTTTCTGGATGCTACTTGACGGAATCTTTTAGAGCAATAAAGACAGACATATGGTCGTTCATCGGTATGTACTCGCATATGTGTTATTATATCATTCTTTCTAAAGAAACTGCTGCCACACGTCTCACAAGTAAATTTACGCTCTCTAGCAGAGTGATATGTTTCATTGTGTCTTTTTAGAGAGCCTTTAGTAGGATATTTTGAGCCACATAAATTACAAATAAAAGGTTTTTCTCCAGTATGAGTTCTCATGTGAATCTCCATAGCTGATGGACTTGAGGCCATATGCCCACAAATAACACATTGTATTGGCCCTAGTTTCCCTCGTTTTATTTTCTTTTGACGAAATTTACCTCTAGCAGCTTTATATCCTTTAAGGTCAGTCTTATCGCTCGCTTCTATTAAAGAATTTTTGATTTTGTCAATATCTTGGTTTTCTGTATTTTTTTCTAATTCTATTGTAATATTAGTCTCGCAATTGCTTTGTATAGCAGAACTTTCATTTTTATCTCTAAAATAATCTTTTGAGCAATTATCTAATAAGAAATTATTTGTAAAACTATCATCTTGGTTATCACAATCATCTAGCTCATGTTTGATATCTTCTTCTTTAATACTTAGCTCGATATCTGTTTGAAGGTCTGAATATAGTTCTATTGGAGCACTAAGGCATCGCAATGCTTTATCGGAGGCTTCACACTTTTGAACAAACTGATATGATAAAGACAATTCATTTGCACAGCTATCGCACATCATATTAGGCAAGCCATCATCTTCAGCGACCATAATATTGACTAAACGCATCAATTTTGCGGCATACTGTATGTTGTCAGGTTCATTTTCAAAAACAGATATAGTACCAGGTTTATCTAGACAAATCCTACAGATTAGTGAGTCCATTTATGTTATCATAAATGCCCATCAAAAGAAAATATCGTTGTTATATTTTAAAATACAGAATATTGCACGATCCGGAAAATAAACAAACATGTTTCAGAAAATTAGTTGCATCAATTTTTATTGACAAATGACAGACAATGACACAGACAAAAAAAGAAAACATGATAGAATAGACTACAGAGATACGCTCTGCACACACGAAACGAGTCATACATCGACGATCGAATTGGTCAGCCGGTGAAAACAAAATCGTCGTACATGGATGCTGCGTTGTGCGTTGTGTTTATGCACTATATTTTATCCTGCTTAAATAGCTGGTCTCAATAAGATAAGCCACTGTGGGCTAAATAGGCTAGATTGTCGATGAGGACTTAGGCAATTTAGCCTCAAATATCTCGGAAACAACACTAGACCATCATATTGCTGATCAAATGAAGAAAAACTCCTAATCGCTTGTCACTTTACATATAACTTATAATATCAGTGTACTTCTATTTGTGAAGTCACAATAATACACGTAACCACAAAAGGAAAAAAGAAATCTATAGGATCATTCCTCGTCGGTCATTTTCAGTGTCTTTCTGTCTGTCTGTCAGACACTTTCTCAGGAACGCGTGGAGGTATCAAGTTGAAATTAATATTAAATACTCAGTTCTGCAATCTGTTAAATCCTGTGAAAAAATCAAATATCTTCTAAGTCAATGGAATCAAAACTCGCAAGAGAATAAAAACCAATAGGGTAGGTACTTCCTGTTGACCTAAAATCATGAAATTTGGCAAGAAGCAAATTTAAAAAAAAATCAAAAATCATCTATCAAAAATTTATAGCTAAATCACACAAAAAAAATGCGACTGTTTATGTTTAACTTATTGTAATGTTTCATTCTAGGAAATACTCGGTGCGCTAGTCAACTCGCACATGTCCGATTTTTTAGCTTTAATTACAAAATCTTGCTATTAAAATTTTATGGTCTTTTTCTGTCCGACTCCAAAAACGTTATAATTTATTTATCAAACTATTCAAAAGCTATCCTTGACTCAGGTATAGATATAAACTTTTATTTGTCATCCATGATATAAACAGCCATCACACTGACAAGTGACAATTGTTAGTTTGATTACTGTAAGCTGTCAGATGAGTTTAAAATAATTATAGTTTTGTTTTTGTAATATTTTTAGCTTGCGAATAATATTAAAGAATCGCAAATATTTAAATACATAAATATTAAATATACATAAAACAATGAACAAAAATAATTGTCGTTTATGTCTCGAAAACCCTGGTGTTGTTTCAATTTATAGTAGTAACGAAAATCAAATTAACACAAAAATATCGTATTGTTGCGTGAATATTAGTATTGAAGAAAACGATGGTCTACCATCACACATTTGTAACTTTTGTGAATGTCAACTTACAACTTGTTATGATTTTTTAATTAAGTGTGAAGAAACGGACAAAAAATTGCGTTTAATTAAATTTAATAACTCTGACGAAGATTGCAATACAAAAATTGAAATAAAAACAGAAATAGACGAAAACTCCGTTTCAGATGATGCTAATGAGAACTCATATGAATCACCTAATGAAATTAAGCAAGAAATCGATTGGAAAGATGTATTAAAGAAAAAATATCGAAGTTATAAGAAAAGAAAAAGTAAAATTTCAAGCATATCCAAATGTACTATATGTGGTAGAAAATGTGCAAATCCTTCTACCCTTGCTATACATATGAGATCTCATACAAATGAAAGGCCATATTCTTGTCAATCCTGTGATAAAAGCTATAAAGATAGTGGGAGCCTCAAACGACACGCACAGAGAAATCATTTCAGAGATAAACGGGAGAGAAAGTTTATTTGTGAGAATTGTGGAAAAGGCTTTTTTTCAAAAAGCGAAGTTAAAATACACATGCGTATACATACTGGAGAAACACCATATGCTTGTTCAGCTTGTCCTGCCAGGTTTACTCAAATAAGTACCTTGCAAAGACATACGCTTAGACACACCGGTGAACGAACTCATATATGCCTAACATGTCACAAAAAATTTTGTACCAAAGATGAATTACGATCACATTTCACAGTGCATTCAACTGTAAAAAAGTTTATATGTCCAATATGTAAGGCACTTTTTAAATATAAGAATAATTTAAGAAAACATGTTAGAAGCCATTCAGAAGGTGATAAGTTCATTTGCAATCACTGTGGACGCAATTTTAGTATGAAAGGTAATTTAAAGATGCATATAGAGAGATTGCATTCATCAAAATCAGGATATTGCAATATATGTTTAAAGAATGTGTCAAATATTGAGGCTCATATGTGGAAACATACTGGTGAGAGGCCCCTAAAATGTGAATATTGTGCAAATAGTTTTGCTGAACAAAATGCTTTGGCTCGGCATATTAATTTTAAACATAAAAAAACAGATAGATATAAATGTACAGTGGATGGTTGTTCTGTTAAGTTTCCTTCAAGGCCAATGTTAGATTTTCATGTGGCAAAACTACATGGAACAGTAAAACCATTTCAATGCGATAAATGTTCCAGAGGCTTCTATAGGAAAAGTGATTTAGCTAGACATAAGATAGGTACACATAAAGAGAAACTCCTATTGGATTCATTGTCACTTGTGGAATATAAAAGCAAATAATGAATGAGTAATTGTTTAGAGTACTAAGAACAGAAAGTTTTTACATGTCTGTTATAACCGTTCTAGCAAAATATTTGATATTAAATTTGTTCAGTGATAGGTTGTTTTATATAGTGTAAAATATGTCTAATGGATAAAAGCTATCAGGGAGGTAGAAGGCCTCAAAACCTGTTGATTAAACCCCCATGTATGTTCAGCAATTTTTTGTCATTCCAAAGTTATTAAAATTTTAAATATAGTCAAAAGCAGATTTTAGATTATATACTAGTAATTAGTATAGCCTACAAAAACTGTCACAGTTTCCCGCACACAAACTAGGGCAAGTTCAATCATAAATAATATTGTACAAAAATTGAATTAACATGAGTCATTATTAAATAATAGAAAGAGATATTAGAAAGTATTATGTTAACATGAGTCATTGTGAAAATGACCTGTAATCAGTTTTGATTTTAAATTATTCAGTAAATAAAAATGTTATATTTAAAGCTCTTTTTATGGATTTAAAGCTCTTTCTATATGACTCTCTCTCCTTCCCTCCCCCTCTCTCTAGCTTTTCCTCTAGGAAAGTTCACATGGAGAGCCTATGATTGAACAAATGACAAGTTAAATAATATGGCATGTAATCTTAGAAGTGCTTAGACGATGAAGTCTTTATTATTCTACTAAAAATTTAAATAAGTCCTTTAGGATATATTTCAGGCTAAATTAATTAGTGAATAAAACTATACAAACTGTCTATATATTTATTTCAAGTACTGACATACAGTACAGTATCACAGAAAATAAGTGACAAAGCTAGAAAAATGACAGAAGTAAGAAGATCTATAAGTAAAGTAAGTAAAGACAATGTATGAAATAAAACAATTTGTTGAGTGAACGGTTATTTCATTTCACTTATGCTTAATACATAATTATGTCAACACAAATTTCATTAAAATAAAACATACATATTGGTATGGTATTATGTTACACCAAAATCCATAAATTGCACAATCAAAAAATTTTGATCCAGTCAAATATTTAATATAAATATTAAAAACGAAATAAAATTATAAATATAATATGGAAATGAATTGGCTAACATTATAAATTATGCAATCAGTCAACAATTACCTATAATTCTAATTCACGATTTGCCGCCATCACTGCGTCCGAATCGTAACAGATAATAAATGTCAACAAACACTCCACAGACAACAAATATATCTACTTTAAAACCTCCAGCTAATTGTTAGGCCAACTCTTGCCCATTATAAGCTCTGCTATATTACCCAGTGTATCTAAATTTAAATTAAAATCTAGCCCTAGCTTTATGACTAATGACTAAATGAAAACAAAATTGCTTAGCACCAAAGAAATTAGGACACAGGCATTTATACAATTAGCTAAAAGAATCCCTACAATTCACGTAAAAAGTGAATTATTCATATGAAAACTAAAACGTATGTACATTTTCGTCTCCATATTTCTATTTTCGACAGAGGCGGATAGAGTCGATGTCAATGTTACTTATTAATCTATAGCTTACTGACTATTTTCACAAATGTGCTTTCTTAAAATTAAATGAATACACATTCCATAATTTTCAAATAAAGCAATAATAAATTATAAATAAAAAAACAACATCCATACATATGTTTAAATTACAATACATTTCGTTATTTGAACAATAAATAACTTGCAGATATGCATTTTGTCTTCCTTAACATTATTAAAAGAAATCCATTTTAAGTTGCATGTCATTGTAAATTATAGATAACATATATGTTTGACAAGCAAAAATTGTTTTATTGTGCAATCTGTCAACTAACAATTGTTATTGCCATTACAAAAAAAAATGTTTACTTAACATATAAAATTTCAAGTATTATATTTTTGGATAAAATATATCAATAATTTCGTCAATAATAAATATCAATTAGATATCCTATCTAATTTGTAAGTGGTTACTTATTTCCATATATATAAACACCATATATGTAAACACTTTCACTCCATGTTTTGGTACTATTAATTAATAACAAGTCACTAAATGGCTTTGAAGTTTCGATTTTATTAATCAGTCGTTTAAAGACGTAGGCCGATTCATTAACTTGGGTTAAGGAAAGATAATATGGATGTGATCAAGGGTTCGTTGGATTTCGGACAATATGTCACAATTTTATACTATAAAGTTTTTTTTTTTGTATTTTGTATAAGGAATTAATTGAAAGTGCCATTTATCTATCGACTATATAGTTTAGAAAAAAAAAACAACAGCTTTGTAGGAAATGGTAATGTAATGGAGAAATGCTTGCTTTTCTTGCATTCTAACTTCAAAATAACTTGTTCGCAAAAATTGCCAGGAACGCATGGCAATTCAAGAGGTCTTTTAGTTCAATATTGAATCATACATCATCGTAAGATTTTTGTTCAAAATGACAAAAAGTATTAGGGACGCATGACAATAGAAGAGGTGTTCAGTCTAATTGATAGCCTGTTCAGTCATTTGTAGGCATAGCACGTCTAAGCTAGAGTAGTCATCTGCGGACGGGGGAGGTGGGGGGCGGGGGAGCGCGTGTGCCGGGGGGAAGGGGGGGTAGGAGTGGGACTTACCACGCGGGGGTGGCGCCCATCTGCGGGGGCGCGGCCCGCATTGAGGTGCGCGCCATCTGTTGGACAATTTTTAACATTGTTTAATAGATATTCTATACTAGAGACTCACCCTCGCTTCGCTCGTGTTCGTGCCTAGGTACGTTTTAATTTTTTTGAACGGAATCCTAATTCTTTTTCTAAAATAAAAGTAGCCTATGTTACTCCCTATAACATAAGCTATCTTCCAGTGAAAGTCTCGTCAAAATCAGTCCAGCCGTTTTAGAGATTATCCGGAGCAGACAGACAAACAAAAATGAAAAAAAATGTGTTTTTCTTATATGTACCTTATATAATTTCACATACATTTAGTAAAACGCTGTTATTTTGACATTACAAACAGACACTTCAATTTTATTTAACTGCATGTATGGATTATAAATTTGAAACACATAAGTATTATAAAGTGTTAAAAAATCAATCTCTACATCATAATAATATTATCCCATAAATATTACAAATGCGAAAGTTTGGATGGATAGATGTTTGTTACTCAATCACGCCAGAACGGCTGGATCTGGATGAAATTTGGCACAGAGATAGATTATAGACTGGAATAGAACATAGGTTACTTTTTATCCCGGAAAAATGAACGTTTTCCGTGGGATATCCATACTAATCGTTAAAAGGTAGTATTGGTTTTTCTAGGGTTTTCGTAACAAGAAATTTTCAACATCAGAATTAATATTTCAGTGCATCTTTTATTGTTCATGTAAGATAGTTGTTAAACCAAACATTTAGAGAGAAAAGAATAGAATTATCTTTTATATCTCGCATAGAAATGTCTGTTCTAGTAAGATAAATAAGAGGTCTTCGTGTATAACATTCATCAATCAAAAAAGTAGTAGATCAATCCCATGTAAAAGTTCTCTTAAAATTATCTCCAATTGTGTTTAGGTAATTATTCTAGTTGAAGCGAGTATACAACAATGTAAATTGTACCTTAAAATTCACAAAAAAAAGCGCGCCCAAATGTTCAAAAAGCGCTCATTCGGTGAGGATATTTTTTGTCACTGATTGTATATCTAGTATCTCTAGTACTTTTTGATCGATGATAACCTTATACATACCTGTGTTTCAGACGCCTATGAGGAGCATCACCCACTAAATGGAAGAACTGTCGCGGCGGCAGGCGATGGCGCAGTCTCCGGAGAGCCGCTTGCAGTTCTGGGCTACTGAACGATTCGTGGTGCAGTGCCTGTGTTGTTTAATATTTGTTTTAAATAATAATAATCCTATTAATACTATAAATTCGAAAGTTATGATGGATGGATGTTTGATACTCAATCATTCCAGAACGGCTACATAAAATTTGGCACAGAGATTGATTATAGTCTGGAATAGTACATAGGTTACTTTTTATCCCGGAAAAATGTACAGTTCCGTGGGATAGATTTATTTTTGTTTTGCACTAGGGACGAACTCGAGCAAAGCGTCTTGTGGTATTATAAGATACATTTTAGTGGTTTAAAAATGTTATCATTACTAGAAGTACAGATGCTTCATCTCATACAAAGATATAGGACAGCCCTAAATGGGGCTACTTTTGTTTTCTTATACAGACGATAGATGGCTTTCTACATATAATTTTTTAATACATCCATACTAAAATATAGCAAAATTTTCTAAGACCTAGAATATATTTTTTAACCAGAATTACCTTTTAGAAAATATTTTTGTTTAAATCAATTAATGATACAAAAATTATTACCAATCAATACATGTAAAAGCATCAATTGGAATAAAACTTGGTGTACGTAACAAAGACTGTGTCTTGGGTTAATATAAGATATTTTTAGTAGTTTAAATTTAATGTAACACCATCTATTTACATATCATTGAAGTAATTTCCTTGTATTCCTGATGAGACTTTTTGATAAGTCTCCTACGTGACATTGATGATGATGATGTCCTCCTTGACGTATCCGTCAACGGCGAACCTTGTTAGCTCCGGATATGAGACATTGTAGAAGTAATCTATGCTCAATTGGCACGCTTTGAAGTCATTAACAAGAAAATTTAATTAACCATATAGTGAAGTCAATATTTTATAAAGTTAAACCATACCTTTTCTATAAGCCAGCAGTGCAACGACATGGGGTCGACCGGCTCCGGCTCGCCGTCCACGGCCGCGCTCGCACTTGCCCCATTACCGTTGCTTAGGCACTTTGATGCTGGAAAAAATATGAAAATCGTTAATTATAATTTGCTGTTTTTAGTGTATATTATTAGTAGTAGGTTTTTAATTAAAAAAATAACTAGCTTATTTTACTTTGAGTAAAGTTATGTGCCAATGTAATATAAGCACACTAAGCAAATCCAAGGATGAGCATTACAGAGAAGCCTTAGTCAGTAGTTTACCAATCTCCAATTCTGTCACAATAGCAGCCGGCAGGTCGACAGGCATCATGGGCGCAATCAGCGCTGCATACACCCGCTTATCACGTACAACACAGCGCTGTGAAGCGCTACTATCTACTACTACTAATCAGGTACATTAACTATGCCTCACAATAGCGGGAAGATCAGATACAGGCGGCATGGGCGCCATCAGCGCTGCAGAAACCTGCTTCATCATGTACAGCTGAGCGCTGTGCAGCGCTACATACATTTGTTTCACTCACCAAACTCCAATGATGCCACAATAGCAGCCGGCATATCGAACACAATCGGTTTGGCCGCTAAGCAGCGCTCCACGCACTCGCTCTAACGCTCGCAGTACAGCACTGTGAAGCGCTACATATACTCACCAAGCTCCAATGCTGCCACAATAGCAGCCGGCAGGTCGGACACAGGCGGCATGGGCGCTAGGAGCGCTGCACGCACTCGCTCCAGCGCTCGCAGTACAGCGCCACCAGCCGCTAGTTCCGCACGTGCACCCTCAAGCGCTGAACCGCGTTCGCTTAGTTTCTTTATCGATAGCAGGATCTTGTGGCGAGCCCCTTTTGTTACGCCTAGAATGTTTGTTATAGGTAAAATATTAATAAATAATTATTTTTTAAAGTGATTTTGGTATAGTTGTTCATATTGCTAGTTTTACTTATTATATTACAATTCATTCAATCTGATGTGATCCATACTTAAATTGTTAGACTAATCTTTATATATATAATTCTTCTGTGAGTGTGTATGTCACTGAACTTCTCTCAAACGACTGGACCGATTTTGATGAAATTTTTTGTGTGTGTTCAAGGGGATCTGGGAATGGTTTAGATTCACAATTTGAATAATAATTTTCATCAAAAAAATTATTAAAAAAAGTTTGAAATTTTCAAATTAAAGACGTGTAGACAGGACAACGTCTGTCGGGTCCGCTAGTCTAACTATAAAGAGGCAGTTTGTTTGTTTGAACTTGCTAATCTCAGGAATAATCCAAATTGAAAAATTCTTTTTGCATTAGATAGCCCGTTTATTGAGGAAGGCTATATAGGCTGTATATCATCATGCTACCAAGGGAGGGGAGCAGTAATCATAAATATCAACAAATCGGGCAGACTTCCATACATTATTGTAAAACTGATGTTTATAATATGTTTAAGAGCTTTGAGCTCAAAAACTACTCAGCCCGTTTCAAAAATGTCTTTTGCATAAAACTAGTTTTTTTTAGTTCTAACACGAGCGATGCCGCGATATCTCCTAGTAAAAATATAAACTTATCACTTATCGTCTTACAACTCAATTTCAAATTAAAAAAAAATAACCTTAGAAAACTCACCTAACTTTTCCAAGTACTTATCATCCATCGCCATCATCTGTTCATAAGTTACATTAGTAAAGAGCCACACATACTTGTGAAGGCGGAGGCTTTTTAACCACTGAGCCACCGTTGACATACCGGGGTGTTCCGTATAATTGTTACACCTTAGATCATCTAATCGAGTCTCACTACCTGTTGTTCCATACATTATACTTATTGGTCGCAGCTGACTTAAACTATGTTCACTTGAAAGCGAGAAACTCCTAGGTTTTTGAACAAATGCTTCATCACTCAAATTTTCAGCCGAAGAAGACATTTGCATGAAATTAGAGGATGGAGGCGTTAAACTGTTGGACCTTTGAGATTTGGGCTGAGCTATCGCTGCATCGAAATTAAGCATTTCATCTAAGCTTATATCCACGTCACGTCCATTTTTTGAAAAGGATTCCTGTAGTATGTCAGTGTATGACGAATGGTCTGTGTCTAGAATGCCTCGAAATTCAACGTTCTTGCCTATTGTCCGTCTGAAAGTATTATTGTTCGCCCAGATATTAGTATCGGGCAGAAGGCACGGGTCTATCCTTTGTTGCCACACAGACTCAGTGTTCCGATTGCCGGATATATGATTTTCTAAATAGCGCAGCCATTGTGTTAATGTTCTGTAAAAAAATGTGTTATCTGTGGGGTGAAAAGTATAAATAACAGTTATCTAATTCAATTCAATTTTCTTGTTACTAGCTTCAAGGTGTACAAGTTGATTTTATCAAATTTTCTTTTGTTAAAAAAATTCTTGCATATCATATTTTCTATACAAAAATAGACTGATACGGTCATTGATCACGGTCACGGATATTGTCACTATTTATTATAACTATTGAATATTTTCATAATGACATAAATAGGAAAAGTCATATAAAAACTACTTTCTTAAAAAAGTTATATTGAAAATCATTTTTTTACATGTTACTACTAGCTGACCCGGCAAAAGTTATCCTGCCATATAAATTATCAATTAAATCTAACGTAAGATACAAAAATAAAAAAAAAAATTAACAAAAAAAAAACCGACTTCAAACAAAAGCACTAAAAAGTAAAAAATAACTGATTGGTAGTTTTCATTTACTATACATACCTAATCAAATATTTTCGAAGTCGGTGTGCTTTGCTTTGTATGGGCTGGCACCGATTTCGAAAATATTTGATTAGGTATGTATTTAATAGGTAGGCTTTAATTACTTAGCCAAAGCACACCGACTTCGAAAATATTTGATTAGGTATGTATAGTAAATGAAAACTACCAATCAGTTATTTTTTACTTTTTAGTGCTTTTGTTTGAAGTCGGTTTTTATTTTTTTGTTAAAAGTTTTTATTTTTCCCTTTTTAGTGTAGACAGTAGTAGCAAAGTAAGAATTCTAACGTATTAGGCTTGTCAAATCAAACAAAACAAGCCCAAACTCAAAGTATCTACTATTAGCCGTTGAAGAGTTCCACCTATCCACCTTTTGGCCTTACCATCAGATCAGGTCAACAATACCGAACCACTATACTATCAACGGAAATAAAAACACTTGCAAAGTTTCAAGTCAATATGACAATTAGAAGTAGATTAAATTCATCATTAGCTATTTTTCCACCCTTAGGGGTGGTATTTTTTTTTGAAATTTAAATGGGACAAATCTGGAAGTATACACTTTCAAACAACACAAAAATTGTTCAAATCGGTTAATAAATGACGGAGTTCTGAGGTAACAACATAAAAAAAAAACACAGTCGAATTGAGAACCTCCTCCTTTTTGAAGTCGGTTGAAAAAATGGGGGGTGGGTGTATGAGAGTGAAAAATACTTTAGGACCTATTCTCATACCTTTTATTTATTTTATTTTTTATTACCTATATACAAAAAAATCATTAAAGTCAGTCGAGCCGTTTCGGTGCGACCACAAACACAGTGACACGAGAAATTTTTTATATCAGATTGAGACGAGTTAGTTTTACATTATACTCGTACATTTGATTCGGTCTAATTAAGAGAAGAAAGCGCATCATGCGGAACTGTCATTTAATATACATACATCTTATTAAGGAGTTATTGTGACAGTCGCGCCGGAATCCGTCGTTGACGATAATAGCGGTCAAAGATTGGTACGCTCATATGAAAATTAAATTATAGGGTTAAAAACCAATAAATGATAAAAATAAACCCAAAAATATTCATTGATCGTCTACAGTATTAGTAAGATTTATTATTAACGAGCGAATCACACTCGCTTCGCTCAGGTTCGTCCTTAGGTACGTTTTGAGCCCAATGGTAACACGCTCACGGGTTCAAATCACGGGTATCACATCTCTGATATTTTCATGTGTGAATCATTTCCAGGTGAAGGAAAACATCGTAAGCAAACCTGTATGTCTGAGAGAACCTAACAAGTTTTCGAAAGACATGTAAAGTCCGCCAAACCGCACTTGGCCAGCGTGGTGGACTATGGCCTGATCCCTTCGTATTGAAGGGAGGCCCGTGCCAGCAGTGGGACATGAAAAAGGGTTGAATACAAACTAATATTACTGCAATTGATACTGAAAACTTTCTTAGGATTTATATAAATAGACTAGCGATTTACCGAAGTTTCTCTTGGATTATTCCAGGTCAAAATTTCTTTTAAATCTGATCAGTTGATAATACACGAAGGAATAATAAACAAACAACAAATACATTTTAGCCCATGATATATTTCGCCATAATAGTCTTGTTAGATTTCTTACCTTTGATCATGTAATGTGAGAGCAGGGTGTACCAAAAGGTATGAAAGCAGTTGTCTACATAATTCAGGTGCGATGGTCCGTCTTGGTGCGTCCACACATCGCTGCACTAGAGCGGGCGCGGCACCTACATATACATTTTTAGCACGCTCGTTGTCTGTGCGTAAGAGGGGGAGAAGGGTTAGAAGTTGGCGTAATCTTTCACCATCTGGAATGGAAACAGTCACTTTTGGTTTATACCCAAAAAAAACATCTACCTTATCCATTGTGACTAGAAATTTGATTTGGATAAATTCCAAATCAAATTTCTAAACTTTTGTTACGGTTTAAAATTTTATGAGTGTATTTGATGATGATACAAGTTAGTCTTTGGTGGAATTCTATAATAGTTACAATAACACACTCGAATTTAGGTTAATTCATTTGTTTTTGTGATTCAAATAAATTTATTGACACCATTTAGTAGATTCTTAAAAAAAGACAAGTTATTTTTTAAAAATAATATTAATAAAAAACTTATAATATTATAAATAAAAGGTGGCTGTATACTCGTATTAGACAGTTAAACCAATCAACTAATTTTATTTATTGACAACCCTTAACATTTAGAAAATGAATATTGACTTTATAGCAAACAGGAAAAGTTTCAATTAAAAATATATTTGATGTAACAATTTGTACCACTATAGTGAGCCATGTGACTGAATAAATAAAAAATCACTTATATTGTTCAATATATATAATTATTATAGACTCAGCACCTAAGAAGAAGTACATAAAACATAGACCACATTTGTTTATATGAGTAGCACTCTAATATAAATAGGGTTATGTGTACTCCTTAATATAAGTTAATAATTAAAACTGGTCAAGTGCGAGTCGAATTCGCACACGAAGGGTACCATATCATCGTTCATGTATTTTTTATTAATATAAATTTTACTCGATGATCGATTATGAACATTAAAAAAAATGTTTCTTGTATTTTTATTATTTTTTGTAGCGGCAATAGAAATACAAATTCTGTGAATATTTTAACTCTACCTATTACGGTTCATGAGATTCTGATAGACTGACGGACAGACAGTGGAGGCTTAGTAATAGGTTTTCATTAACACTCTTCAGATAAGGAACCCTAAAAATGGTGACACTATTATCAAAATAAAAAGTATCCTGTGTTATAAACTCAAAACATCTTAAAGGAAATTTATGTACGTAAAAATCATGATAAGATATCAAAATAACATTTTTTTATCTTTAGCAACATCTAGCTGTGGTAATATAATGCAATTGCAGCTTATCTTATAAAAATATTGCAATGAATATTTATACACGATGCTTAACCTTGCTTTGGCTTTATACAATGCAAATGATGCAAAAAAATAATTTTTACTAAAAAAATTTTAAACTTTTTAATAACAAATTGAAACAAATAAAAATTTATTGTATTATAGTTTTTTTCATTTTTACATGGGACTACTTTGGGCTTTCCATATTTAAGTCATATCGTGTTGTGTCGTCTATCTACCACCCTATTTGTCTTACTGGGAGAAGTAAAAATCACACAGTTTAAAGAGACAAATTATAAATGGAAATCAAATCGTCAACTGCCAACCATTAACATAGAAGGCAGTGTAAGTCACTCATGATTGATTGTACAACTAAGTTCTTTTATGAGAGACGGAAAGGAAACAGTGACCCTATAGAACTCCTATTCAGTATTATATATTGACTAATAAAGTATAAATGATATCTTGGATATTACTATAAGATACTGAAAGTTCAGTTATCTGAGTATCAGTGATATTTCCTTCCTCATACTGTTTTTATATACATTAGATGGTATAATCATATACTTCTTCATTTATAAATTGTAATACAAAATATATATTTTATATGTTATTCATTCTAGAATTCGAATAAAAGTTGATAATATTTTGTAAATCTATAAATCTTATTTAGGTAGATAATAAATTCCATCCATTTACTTATTTACAAAATTCACAGGCCATATTTGTACAATGAAATAATATGTAAAGTTATAATGAAATAATAATTAGGAACCTAATTTAATATATATACCAAATTAAAATAGTAGCTTATAGGAGTGTACAACAGATATTTCTTTTAAAACAATCTAATCAGAATAAAAAAATACCTTCTTCGTCATCATCGTCAGCCCTAGCGGCAAGGAGACTAGCCAACAGGGTTTCATCATTAGCATCTCTTTCCAGCCTCTCGTCTTCGACATGGTGCTGTAGAGCCGCTTCCACCGCTCTTTGTACCAGGCGAAGCCCTGGCCACGGAACCCTTCGAGCTAAAGCACATGCTACTACCGTACGCTCACACGTACCCCACTGCTCAAATAAACCCGCCACACCCCCGAGCTGCTCGTAAAATGTCCCGTTCATCTTGCCAACAGCATAGCACCTTCTATATCAGATTTGTTTGTGTTCAACAGCTGATCGCTCTTTATAGATAGGTGGTCTAGGAGGCAGCAGCGACGGTGGTGGCCACGCGTCCGTTGTCGTGAAATGTGCAATTTTTTCTATTAATTTTGCAGGTAGGATAAAAACATAACATCTACTCTGATTCGACGGACAGTCAAATTATCAAGTTCCAAAATGGCCGACCACAGATTAATCAACATTAAAAAAATATATGTCAAAACAATATGTGATCTTTTTTGTTTTATTAATAGTTTATTTGGAATAATAACAAAATATTAACATTCTGAATTTATGAAGGAACATTAAACCCGCCTTAAACTCATTTTAAAATGGTTGTAAAAAAATATGTGTAACAAATTTTCTACTAGACGTCAGATGGCGCTTACAAAGATGGTAAAAAACATATGAAATGTTTAACTATTAGGTACTTAATAAAATAATTATTGTAAACAACAATATCAATAACAAATGAACGAATTTTCATTTTCATAGAAAAACTAACAACAATAAGTACTATATAAATGATGGATTAATGAGAAACTTTTTTCCTATTAATCGTTAGATGGCGTTAATTTTTAGAAACTGCGTTTTACAAGCATTTAAGAATTAAAAATTAATGAATTGTAATTATTTTCCCTAGTGATCACTAGATAAGGCAATAATCAAATTATATTAATTAATAGAATTTAATTTTATATTTTAATTAAACAAAACAATTCAACTACAAATACACAACATAAAAAATGTGCTTTAAGCTCCTGCACAAGACTATAATGTATAAGTATGTTATAATTATAATTAACAAAACTTACAACGTAAACCTATCCATTTCTACCTACATTAAACAATTTTTCCATCTAAATGAATTTTGTTTGACAAAAGTATTAAGTTACCTACTGTCTCCTTTCTTCAAGGGTTGCACAATTGTCTTCCTTTGCCTTAATCCAAGGTGGTCTTGTCCAGTCATGGAAAAAAACCCGTATGTACTAATACAAATTTTTAATTTTTGTTACATATAAGATTAAAGGAAAGTTGCATCACAAAAGGAATACTTAACTGTATTTTGTACCTATTATTATTTACGTAAAATACAGTTTTATATTCATATTTTTTATTAATTTATTTAATCCTACAGCACATAATTTTGTCCTCTTGCATATCTTAGGTAGCGTAATCATTTTGTTACTTTTCTTTAAATTAAGTATTACCTAATAGTAGGAATACTTATTTCTTCAAGAAGTTTTTCGCTAAATGGTTTTTAAGTTGCATTGATTATAGATTCATTATTTTTGGTGAGAAAATTAAAACGAGATATATTTTACTGATATTTTTATCTTTACATTTTTCAATATTATGGCAGCTGTAAGTCTCATGTTACCTATAAACATATTAATATTAAATTAGTATCATATTTTCAAGAAATACTTATCATAGATCGTCTAACACCTACTGTAAATTTGAATCCTTTAAGCTTCGAGCACTTGTTATTGCTCGAAGCCTTTAAGTGTACTCGGCAATCGAGCTTATTGCCATCTCTATGGAACCATTCACGCATTTTATGTAACAGATTTTATTTAACTTTGTCCATAAATTTGCCTTATGACGATAGTTAAAATGTCTAGGCGGAAAAGATGAGAATACCTATATAGTCAGGAAAATTCTTGTTAGGTACATATTAGTCCTATAATATCTACTACAAAATTAGTTTTTTAGATCTTATAAAATAAAATAATGTGAAAGTAATAAGATTGTGATTGTCTGTTTATTAGTAGGTAGGTATATATCTACCCACCTGCCTAAGTATCCCTACAGTTATGTGTAAATAAATTATATAGAAATATTGTATTTAAATTGATTACAATGATTTTTGTTTTAAAATAGCACCTTTTAACATAACTTTAACCGATTGTGGGATAAGTTATGACGATAGGCTAGTCTCAGACTAAGGATTAGGTAATATAGATAGAGTGTCATAGAGCTAAACATGAAGCCAAAGAATAATATTTTTAAATAGTATACTTGCAATGTTTTTAATACACACACAGTATACAATTATACAATTAAAAGTAATAGAATACGTGTAATATAAGTAAATAAAAGGTAATAAATAAAATAGCTAACGGATTTTATTATGCCTGAATAAAAAAATACCTAATAACTAAACAGAAAACTAATGCTTACAATACTTAAAAATAAAAAATAATTAATAAGTATTAATTTTATTAATCATCATTATTCTTATACCTATTCTTCCCAAAACTTGCAAGATTACGACTAATACCTACCTGCTTATTCTTTAAAGAAAGTAAACAATCTAAATGGTAAAATCGAAAAGCAAATAAAATTACGCTACAATTTTTGACTTTGCGTTAAGAGTAATTTTTATAGAATATTTTTGACTTTAACATTTTTTGGGCCGACTCCGTCTATATAGGTAATTCTTTAGTCTGAGGAGCTGATTTAAAGTATGCTAAGCCAATTCAAAAGACAGTCCAATTGTATAGCGCTACATACAAAAAGGAAGTACAAATCATTTATAAAAGTCATTTTAAAACAATAAAAATTGTAACTGTTAAGATTGGCACATTTTGTCACCCACCGAGTTTATGGGTTATTGCAAAATAGGTTACAATAGCAAGCTTTGTGGCGATAGAAAGTAGAATTGGTGTAAGAGTAGTCTAAAACTGTCGAACCCTTTGTTGCGAATCGAGATGCAAATTATACAATGTGTTGCATGTCTAATTGATGATTGCGTCTTTAAAGGACGGAAAGAATATTTTTAAATGAACGTACTTTGTCTAAAATTGTTAAAATGGCTAAATAATATACCGACTAGAGAATTTGCTACAATTTTTATTAGATAATAAATATTTTAAAAGAACTAAGCAAAAATTTATGTGATAAATTCGACATAAGATCTAAATTATGGAGACACTCAACCCTTTTCCATGTCACTCAAGCTCGTGCACTAATATTTTTATAAGGTCTCGTGCTAATGTTTTTGCAGCGAGATTCACGTGGGAAATGGGATAAGTGGGCGTTATTAAGCAGTATGATATTTTAATTTATAAAACTAATAGAATTGCCCGCGGTTTCGCACGCGTTCAGATGACCAAAAACCAAATTCTTAGGTTTTACATATTATGTAGTATACTCTTACATTGTAATTTTTGTATTTTTTTCAGAAATGAGATATTTTCCCGCGGTTAAAAGTATCCTATATGTTGGCCCGGATAACCAGCTATCACCATACAAAATTTCATCAAAATCCCTCCAGTGGTTTTTCTGTGATACAGACAGACAGACAGACAGACAGACAAAAATTCTAAAAACTATAGATTCGGCCTCTGTATCGATAATAATGTTTATTTCAATAAGATTTTCTTAAAGATTTTTAATGTACAGATTCGAATTAGTTACAATTTTATTATATGCATAGATTACCGCAATAGTTGTGGAAATGATGACTGATTTTCCATACGTAGGTATACTGATATCAGTGTCATGTGTTTTTGATATCCATTAAATTAAAACTAACCTATCTATATATAATATAACATGTACAAAGGACATAATAAGTATGACAGTATTTTAAAATATTTTGTATTAACTTGGTTCCTATGACTATACCTATATAGGTATCTTTATTACTCAAATAAGTTATAAGAAAACAAAAACATTGAAAGTGACGTACGTGGACAAAGGTGGCTCTATAAGAGATCTCTTCCAATCAACTCATGCATATGGGAAATAGTGTTAAATAGCGTATAACATAGGACATATATAAATATATTAGAATGAGAAACACCAGTAATTTTGAAAACATGTTCATGGTAGCATAATATTTCTTTTCAATTTAGTATCTACCTGTATGATATAAATCTAGGTTAAGTTTTAGAATAAAACAAATTCTGTTAAAAATATGAGTATAAACTTGATATACTTAATATACGTATTAGGGGAATTACGGTTATTGTGTACGAGTAGAGGCGGGGCATGCGCACGCGCAGATGAGGGTTTTGCGCCAATCAGATGCGTTCGACGCTTATAGATCGTACCAAAGCTTTTGTATATATTTATAATCATTCTTAACTGAAATAATATTGAATATTTAAATTTTTATTTTTTATTTTTGCAGTCGATTTTTCGGACATCTCAAATAAAATAATACCTTGTTAATAACTTCAGTGGAAAACCTACTTTCTAGTCGGGACACGAAATCTCTTTACGACGCAGTTCTACTATCTATAATAAAAGTAATAAGTCACAAGTTGCCGCAACTAAAGGTAACAATGGACTTGTAAGTCCTGAATTTATGGCCAGATTACGTTCTGGGAGCAATAAACACAGTATTAGAATTTCGCTTTTCTTTGAAAAGATACTTTAGTAGCCAATTTAATTTGTAATATCTTGCTCATATAATAATATATTCACTTTATTTCCCTTGCGACGTGGATAGGATGAATGTAGCAATTTTGTCTTCCGAGTTTAGAATAATGATGTTACGACTGAGTTTGAACGTTTGTATGACCAATAAACCTACAGCATATCAGACAGTGACAGTTATACACGGTATATACAACCCTAAAATTATTTCTCCACTTTTAAGAGGAAGAAAATTGCAACGTTTACCGAAGTCTGAAGTTCTAAAACATTATTATATAGGAGATATAATATCGTATAATTCGTCATTATACAAACAGCGTTTCCGAAAACCTAACCATGATTTAAAAGTAAATAACAAGTTATAGGATCAACTATTTTATATACTTATTCTCTCAGTTCCTCTACTAATAACTCTGTTATGTAGTAAAACACCATAAAGGCGTTCGGTCATGGCGTTGGCGTTGCGTTTGACATCGCGATGCATTTCAATAAGTTCTGGTGACAGATTCGACTCAGATAAGGTAGGTGAGAAGCTCCCCCCCCCCCCAACGTGCGTTCACCTTGTCGTGGTGGGGGGGCTCAGTAGTGCCCGGCAACCCAACCGGGCGCGAAGCCAAGAAACGCACAGGGAGGTGGCCCACTTCGGTGGGCGGTGGGAGGTGGCCCTCTTCGGAGGGCAGTGTACCATGCGGGTTGCTCCTGGTACTTCTCTGATAGCAGAGTGGACTGTGGAGCAACCCCGTGGTTGTTGTGGTCTGCTTCGGCAGACCTGCCGTCGGGGCGTCGTAGTTGAATGCGTAAGCGATCCTGCGACGCCCCATTAAGACGGGGGAAGGTTTCGTTGGGTATTAGTGGGTAGTACTGGCTTTGCCGGTGAGTCCCACACCTCGTGCGTAAATGCATTTCCCAACGTTAAAAAAAAAAAAGGTGAGAAGCTCCCTAGTCTTAGTCTTCATCATTTTCATAACAGGTTGGTCAAAGCAGACTGTTTATAAATAAATAAATATGTTTGGACATTACACACAGCACCATCTAGTTTCATGGTAAGCAACGAGGCCAGTGTTATGGATACCCTGTGATATGGATAGTTGGTACACTACATATATATAACTTTATATACATACATATTATAAATAAAAACATCCATGACTGGAGTACAAATATTCGTCATTAAACAAATGAATGCCCCCAGCGGGACTCGTTCCCGCGACCGCTGGCAACAGCAAGTAGGGTCACTACAAACTGAGCCAAACGTGTCGCCAAATGTGTCGTTTATATAATAACGAATCGCACGATATGCCTGCCACCTACTATATACTTATTATGTAGTAGGTATGTACAATCAAAACCCATCAATAATGCAATGTGAACAGTTATATACGATCTCAATACGGAAATACCATCTGCTATTATAGTACAGTTTAAAGATTGCCCCACATTTTGTTAAAAATCAAAAATATAACAAATACATTATTTTATTAACATTTACTTTATTTTGGACTTTATTCATTTGAGATTAGATTGAAAATCTGTTAAAGCGCATCGTGTGAATGCCCACGCGCCTGCCATTTGAGTTAACCCTTTACAATGCAATAGCGAACCGTTTTGTATTGTTGACATATTTCAAGATGGATGATGTAGCTGTTACTGAATAATACGCGGTTGATATCTATTTTATGTTCCGTTATACGTTCACAATCTTTATAATGTTAAGTTGTTATAAAATATATATAAAAGAAAATGTCATTGTAAGGATAACTTTATTACGAGCAAACTTACGCAGGTACTAAGTGGATTTTAAAGACGACTAGCTTTTTTATCTATGCTGGTTTCTGATGTTATTTTCAATTAAAAAAACGTCTTTCATTATATTATGATATAATATAGTTTTATTATTAATTATCATATAGGTACATATAATGATTTGTTAGTTTCTAAAAACTTAAGCAATCGTGAAAAACTTTGCCTGTGGCTTGAAAAATAATTGGCAAATAAGATGTCTGAATGTTATCAGATGTTTTAACATAAATTTCCATTTTTCTCATTATAACTATAAATAACAAACTAAAACGTATCGTAGTTTGAAATATAATTTGAGTTCCTTCGCAAATCATCGAAACCATACTAAATGGGACTTTTTTCTATTTATAATGATGTCCAGCGCGTGCTTTCATAAAAATCATCGAAGCATCATCAGAGCCAACTGTCGTTTGCGTATTGTATTGCTTCCGGCGATTCTTACCTCACTACGTATATCCGGTGGTGGTCCCTATTGAGTAAAGAGTTATAAAGCTTTAAGCGTTTCACGTGACATTCCTACAATTACTGAATAGATTATCCGAAACCATGAAAAGTTACATTTCAATTGCCATATCTATAATAGACCTATCTATCTTTATATTATTATTTTTTAGTTAAGACTTCAAAGTAATGAATGAGACGCTCTATTTTGTAACAGTATTTATTGTACTTGGCAAGGTATTGAAGGAAAATGTTTTTTTATGCAATCGAGACCAAATAATAATATGTAATGTCGAGAAGTTACATGAAAGTCAGTTTTTTAAGACACGTTTATAAAGTAGCCTATGTTACTCGGGAGTAGTGTGGTTCACAATAAGATATCTCCATAAATGCAAAGAAAACAAATCCATAAAGGTGGATACTAGATAAAAAGTAATGCAATAAATGTATCCTTATTTTTAGAAAAACACATATATATATACACAAACATATATATATATATATATATATATATATATATATATATATATATATATATATATATATATTCTGAGCATCTTGAAGAAAGTATATACCTAATCTATAGCATGTAGTCCGTACAATGTAGTATTTACTAATAAACTATGTATATCGCATCCAAGTTATTAGTGGATTAGGCACTCTACAAGCAAGATTAGTGACTAGACCGTTTTAGTACCAGCATCGAAGCTATTGTCTTATATGAGAATAATAGCCTTCCTATCGTAATACTTTCCAAATAAGTAATTTAATTCAAAAATAAAATACATAAAAGACCACGACATTTGAGATTCATGTACCTATCTATACTAATATTATAAGGAGGTAAAGTTTGTGAATTTTTGTGAATTATGAGTTGGTGACGTTGTAGGGGGTAATCTCTAGATTTAGCTACTGAACCGATTTAGATGAAATTTGGTAAGAAGGTAGTTTGAGACCCTGAAAAGGACACAGGACACTTTTTATCCCGAACATCATCCCTTATGGGGGTGAAAATGGGGAAGATTAAATTGAAAATTGCGAAATGTAATACTTCGTTTTACCAAAACTCTACATTAAAACATTCTCAAAGGTTTCCAAGTTAATTCATTCACAAACCGTATATTTACTGAGAGTCCACCAAACAGCACAATATCGTTAAATCGAGTCACTATTGTTTCGTTGATTACATTGGGATACGTAAATTAAATATGTCTATCTTTTATTTTGAAGAACAAAAGGAGTTAAGAATAAATTATAAATAAAATAACTGGTGAATTGATGGTATGAGAAATGTTTGTTATGATCTAGTTATAGATAGTCCAAACGATAGTTTGCACTTTTTAGTGACTAACTTTAAAGTTTTTAATTAATTCATATCTTCTTCATCCCTCTGTAATTGAAACGAATTGTCATACATATGTTACATGTACTAAGATATTTTTATTAAATTCTTTCTAGTAAATCAACCTCTTACAATAATATCCCTAGAAAATGGTTTTATAAATCGTGAAAAAAAATGTTGTCACTCCGGGCCCTAAAGATATTTTCATGTTAACTTATGTATATTCGCATTGGAAGAAGTACGAACTAACTTACGTTGGCTTTGTAAAATAATAGTATAATTTGCACATACGAGTAGAACATTACAAAAAAATGTCGATAATCAACGATGATAAAATGTTAAGGAGTAAACACAGTAAATAGAACGCTTGCTTATAATCTTACATACGGGCTTATTATCCTTTTAAGATTAAATATTTTGGTTTCTTCATCTGAGATGTTAATAAACACATTGTCGCAACAAAATTGAAAAAGGGAAATATAATCCTATTGTTTAAACAGAAATTTAATATCGATGTCGCCTCCAGTACCGTTATAAGTACCGCAGGTAGCAGATTAACCCTACCACTAAATAGACTCCGCCCATATTTGGGACATATCGTTGCAGAAATTTGCAATCACAGTTTTTACGTCACTGGAAGCACACGCCATGGCTCTGTGGACTCCTTACGCGGAGGAGGCCTTGGATTTAACCAAAAATGTGAAACGAGATTCAGAGCAAATAGTTGTACCCGATTACAAATATCCATCAGAAGATGATAGCTGCTATAATTACGTTTATTCATACAATGTGCCGCCATCGCAGATTTCTCCAGTGGAGAGTTGGAACCGAAAAGTGTCTTCGCCTCCACATTCTACAGATTCGTTTGAAATTGACTCCTTATCCGATGATGTGGAATACCAAGCCTTTGAACGAGACGCTTTAAGAGCTATGGCTGAGAAAAATGGCGGGACGCTCTTGGGAAATAATCCCAGAATGCGACGAGCTGTTCAAACTAGTCAAGCGGCGGACGACTCTTACAGAAAACAGAGGGAAAGAAATAACTTTGCAGCAAAACAGAGCAGGGATAGGCGAAAATTAAGAGAGGTTCGTCTTGCGTTCCAAGTAACGTTCCTAAAGAAAAAGATCGCGGACTTAAGGACCAGACTGGGAGAACGAGTGTGTCTACGATGTCAGCAGCAATGTAGATGTTAAATGAACTTAGTGATATTTAGTGCCATATAAAAAATAAGTATTTATGATCGTTTGTAAGTGAGGTTGAATCGTTGCAGTTGTACATTCGGAGAATTTTATGAGTATATAGATGTACCAATGAATTTATGAAAATTAAAGATATTATTGACACGATGTTCTTTTACTAAAAAAATCCATTTTTTGTAAATATTTATCACCGTAATTTTTAAATCATTTTTTTTAATATTAATACAAAATAATTCACATCAGTCTTTATTTCATACTTTTACATTATTATAAGTTTAGTTTTTTTTACTAAAGTAATTTTTAGATTATCATTTTTCTGCCTGACATTAGAATAATATCATAATTTTTTTTATATTTTTATTTAAAAATATTTTATTGTCTTATTTTATTGTATCTGATGAAATATATTGTTTTTTAAAGCTTTTCATTTTATTCTTACCTATACTCCTATTTCCATATATGAAAGCCCCATTATAATTTACTTTCAACTTATATTATAGAAGATATATATATTTTATATATGAATATCTAATAGGTAAATATGTGTTTTACGTATCGAAATATATTAGATTTGCTTTGCATCAGCTGGCACCGACTTCGAAAATATTTGATTAGGTATCTAATCCAAATGAAAACCCCCGTCTAGTTATTTTTTACATTTTAGTGCCTGGAAGTTGTTTTTTTTTTTAAGTTTTCTTATTCTCTTATATTTCTTTTAACTCATAATGAATGGGAAACATTTAATTTCAAAAAGTTAATTAAACAGAGAGAAAGAAAATTCTGACATCCAGCATTAGGTACTTAACTAAAATATCGAAATTAAAGAATTTACATGTAAAAAAAACTAAGAGCATGCACATCGTTAGTGTCCTTCTAATCATTTAGTTGAGTTGTTTGTTTTCAAAAGTATAATGCGATCATATAACGATGTTGTTTTTGTTTTTCAACGCTGTTACGTGACTCTACTAACTGTTGTGTATTTGCTTAGCTATAACTTAAATTAATAATTATGTAATTAGAATCTAAGTATAAAAATCTAATCTAACACGTATAAGCTCTAATACAATCTTATTTTACAATAACTATAGCGAAATAATTCTGCCAATAACGTTTAAAGATGTAAAGATCAATAAAAGTATAATTTTTATTATTTATTAAATTTGTTTGTTGTCTTGAGTTTTTTTATATTATATTGAATAGGTATACCTACTTATATTTCGTTTACATGTAAAAAATAATTTATCCTGAAAAACACTCAAACGGCTTTTTCAGAGTCAGTCATTCATGTTTTAGAATAAAAAAAAACAGTATTTAAGTTTATTAGATTATACAGCATTCTAAGACTAAGGCCAACTCTCAATTTAGCTCTACAATTATCTCTTAAGAAATCCTTATAAACGTTTTAACGGTTAGTACCTATAGATGAGACATTTTCCCGCAGTAAAAAGTATCCTATATTATGTTAGCCCGGATAAAAATCTAACATCATACCAAATTTCATCAAAATCTGTCCAGTGTTTTTCTCGTGATGAGTTCCCAGACAGACAGACAAAAATTCTAAAAATTATAGATTCGTCCTCTGTATCGATAATAATGATTATTTCAATAAGATTTTCCAAAAAATATTTAATGTACAGATTCGACTCAGTAAGAATTTCATTATATGTATAGATATATAAACTATAGAAGTACATCCGTGATCAAATGCTTTTGCTGACTTTTTTTCTCTTCGTTAGTTCTTCTCCGGACTGAGGCTTTTTCTTTCCGAATTGGTGGTAGACGCATGACGTTTAGCAAAAAATTGTAATGATTTAATGCTGAATAAAATATTTGAAGTTAGAATAAACATGAACGAATAAAGTTTGGGATGGCGTATTTCCGTTACGGCTTTTGACACGCGCACGCGTCGCGTGCTCGAACTTTTTGCGCTCATAATTTCATTGTTATATTAGCAATCTTCCCCGCTTTGTCTATGTAAATATAATCTTTCTAGAAAATTCTGAAATGTATTGCATTGGAACGAAGGATATTTTTTTTTCAAATTAACTTAGTTAGTTTTACTTTTAATTAATGATTTTTTATTTAAATCTTTTATGATGCATTACTATATTATTACTTTTATGATGCATTACTATAATAGGGTTTTAAAATGCTAGCACCTTAAGTTCAGCGCTACATACTATTTTATTCGTGTAGAAGTTAACACTTTTCGTAAAGAAACTGCTTATAACTAAAATAAATATTTATACATAACGTTTAAGTAAGGTTCTAAATAATTACTAGTGACTATATTAATTTATATGAGTAAATATGTTTTTTAATAACATAAATAAATAACTAGCTGGAATCCATTTAAATTTTAAAATAAAAGGGACAGTATATCTTTACTGGATTCTGGAGAGTCCCTCTTTAATAGACTTTTCATACAGTGTTCTAGTTATGATATAAGTTTCATTACTGGCGAAATAAAAAAAAATATGATGCTACCCGGTCCATACAAAAGGTTGCATTATCCTTTATAATAATAAAATTTTCAATACAAAGATTTCATATCTGCTATGCAAAATTATTACATCGACCAGTCCCTTTAAATTTTTATCTACTTAGTACTCCCTTCTGTATGTTTTTATATCACAACTTCTAAAGATAATGATCTCATTGGCACGTGGTAGAGAATTAAGATAACAGTGAAGGTCCTCTCTCAGATTGTTAGACATGTGTTAAAGGATTATATTGCAGCTTGCATTCGCACGAGTCTACGGGCTTGACATAAATATGAATACCTACGTCCTACAGTTATAAGGCCATGCACACGACGACTTTTTAACGCGCTGTCGATGCGGGTTTTCCACATGTTTGTATTGGTACAAATATTGAGTAAACTATTTTGTTCATGTTTTATCAGCGCAGAATATATGTAGACAACGCGCTCTTTATAATATTAGTATAGAAAAACCTACTACATACCGCTACTGCATATCCTTGGATTTCAGAAAAGATGACATTATACTGTCTACATTCACTTGCGAATTCTATTTGTAGATATTACATGTAGAATACAATTGTAGAATGTTACAGAACCTTTTATATATTTTTAGATTTATATTCATTTACGATTGTAGAATACCATCCTGTCTAAGTAGTGCTTTTTTTAGGACAAATCAGGTATCAATTAATAATAATCAATGGTAAAAATTCAATAATAACTTCTAATATCTGACCCTAATATGTATTTACTTTTTTTAAATGTCGATCATGTCTTAGATATAATATGAATTATGAACATAACTACATACCTATGTATGTGATATATATTATATGGTAATAAAGTCTACATCTTGGAAGCTTTATTATCCGGTATATTTTCTAAGTATTTCTCAATTATTACGATACAGTCTACTAGATGTGAAACCCCCTTGTGTAAACTTGCGCAGGCGAGGGGTTCAAATTTTGGGGTATGGGCGGTGCATAATAAACTAGGGTGCGACCCCTCTTCTATTATGTAATATCGATCGTGTTGGGTAACTAAATTATATGTAGTGCGTACTTCGTAGGTAGGATATTAGATTTAGGGGATTTTGTTGAGATTTTTCTAAGATGATATAAGTAAATATGGAGATTTGGAAAGTTATATGTGAGTTTATTTGTAAAAATACTTGTAATGGATATAACCAAAGTAAAGCAAAAAATTATATTTACGTTATATATTCAAAATTATTATATTAGTTAATAAATACACAGTTTTCTCTAATATATGACCATACATAGATTATATATTTTGATACTATAAAAACTCTCATTTTACCTACTAAATGTTTAAAATGAAGAAAGATATAAGAATATCTTTTATCTACACAAAAAACGTCATCGTCAAGCTCTTGGAAAGTTATAAATATATTTGATTGACGCTTTCAACAATATATATGCATATTGCACAAGTGATAATACTTAGTAGCTTTTAATTTATACTAGTCATTGCCTGCGGCTATGCTTGAATCTGTACTTCCATCTATCCATACAATTTAGGTACTATCTTTAGTTAAGAAGACAAAATATAAACATTAGCTTAATTTTCAAAAATATTTATATTTATTTACATTACTTTTGACAATGTACCTAATACTATTTTTATCTTCAGACTTCAATCGCTTAGTTTATTTAGTTAGAGTAGATATCTAAACCAACAAAAAAACAAACAATTTATTGAGCTTTAAATATTAGAATTAATAAAAACCTATATCTATATAATTTAGCTAAGTTTCAATCTTATTTTAATTAAAACTCCATCTTACAGTAAATTAAACAAAACTATATCTGCTATGGTGTCAACATGAATAGCGTATTGTCACCAAGTCGCAATACCCTGTTATCTATATTATCCCCAGAGATTTAGTACCTACATACCATAATAAATAAAACAGTTAGATGTTTCTTAGAAAATATTTACATAGCACCCTTTATCTTAAGCTGAGTGACGCATTGTACTGTTTGTCTGTTTACATGGTCCCGAATGTCCAATACCTACGTATAAGTCCTAATAAGTCGATTTATTTCTAAAACGTGTCTGCAAAATGCAATTTTCACAAAATGCGGATTTTTTAAAGCGTCAAGTGCAAAATTGTTTATAGTAGCAATTTTATTTGCTAAATTAAAATTATAAAGCAAATTCTCTTATTGTTTTTGTTCTCAGAGTAATTCGTATGTGGCGAATTTAGATTATAGATTCATCAATCTTGTCCACAGTCCAACTATTGTGTATCGTTTGTCCACCCTTGCCTACTATAAATGTAATTGAAAAAAGTACTTTAACTCAACAAAATCAACAGTAGGAACTTTCGGAATTCCAAATATCGGTAAATTATAAAAAAAAAAATTAAAGCTTCTTCCTGTGATGTGGAATATATACCTATGTCGTTTATATTTGGTTCAAGCTACTTTTTAAAAATTTATTAGTTAGGTCCACAAACAGGCTTACAATGTTATTTATTACTAGCATACATTAAAACTATTTAGATACTATCGTAAATCCACATCACATTATAATTTACATTAAAAAAAAAACAAAAAAAAACAAATATGTATACACTGACGTATGAATAAACAAATACTTAGTATGGAACATCTACTTTGTTTATTTTAAATATCAAGATAATAATAAGAGGAAAAGAAAACTATAGGTTTTAAGAATAATCACTCGTCAATCAATGACAATAAGTAAACTAAACTATGCGGGTGAGGATAATGGCGGCACGCAATATAGATATTAGAAGTTAAGTTACTTTTAATCCTTTAAAGATCCCAAAAAGTTATAAAACAGAAGAGCAATAAACGTGTTAAAATTTTGAATTTTATTACCGCGATATTGTGAAGGATTAAGATTGCAAAGGATTCTAGGACATTCTAAGGAACTTACGTACTTAATACGATTGATGAATTTTACCAACACTACCTAATAAAAGGTACGTAGACACAGTTTCTGTATTTTTTATTGTGACGTTAGTTGTGATAAAGAAAGTAAACTAACAGACAGAATTTAGTATCTATGAAGGTATTATTAAACTATGGTTCCTAGGTGGCCTTAGATTAGTATCTACTGTCTACATAGTAAAATATTAATATTACTAGCGATTTAGGTAGTTTAGTTCGCTTCTTCGCTTCTTCTCCATTCAAAATACCTAAAGCCTTTGCCAACCAGCATAAAGGAGTAACAAAAATATATAACACTTATCAAAAACTTTAAACTACCTAATAAGAATTTAGAGAAAATGTGACGTAAACGTTTGTATCTCCAATGTTTATTTAGTTCGGCAACATTAAGTTCAAAACACATTGTATTCAGCCTTTTTTAACGTCCCACTGCTGGGCTGTCTTGCGAAAACTTGCTAGGTTTTTTCAGACATGCAGGTTTCCTCACGATGTTTTCCCTCACCGTAAGGCAAACCACATTAGCTAATGATAAAGATGCACAACAACATGAAAAAAATAGCAAGTTAACATTACATAACAAAAGGTAGGTACACCTAAAAGCAAAATCTAAAAATTTGTTAAGTTGTAAGTTAGTAATACCTACCTATTACTTTACATGGTTCTTTTTTGAAGACTGCCTCTGAAGAATTTTAAAAGCTGGATGCGTACACAGTTAATATAATAAGTAGGTACATATAGCCATTTTGAGCTTTATTAGATGTAAACAGTAGAATGTACTTAGTTACAACTGCCAATTAAAAGCTGTATTGTTTTGAAATTTCACTTTATTTTAGTAGGTTCGTATTTAATTATTGACTTATAGGTGAGATTCGATTGCCCATGTCAGTTCATCATCATCAGTCTCCGTTTAATAGTAGATATATCATAAAAAAAGGCTGATGTATTATTATTTTGTTCTCGAGTAAAATAAGGATAAACTAACAAACATATCTACTTCCGCATTTATATCTAATATTAGTGAAGTTTTTGTTGATTTGGTCTATTTAGCACATATTTTCAAAGTTTGTCTTTAGATATAAAACACTTTACACACAAGATACTTTAAACATTACCATTTTCCTGTACCACTCAGCATTTCAATTCAATATAACAATTTTTAGAAAACCCCATCCCGTTAAGAAGCTTAGCTAAAACAATGGCAGGACGTAATCCCATAATATAATACGGGTGCTATATACCGCTGCGCAAATTTTATGGGAACTATAAACTGCAGTTTACAGGTAGGTATACTATGTCCTACGCGGCGCGTGTCTATGAGATTAAGTGACTTGGGTAAAAGAAATTGTCGATTGATGTTTTAACGGTTAATGACTGTTTTACAATAGCAAGGATATGATTATGATGAAGATATTCTGGAATATGCCCCTTTTAAATGGTTTAGGATAGGTACTTATTTGTTCAAGTTGTCTCATAAGTTGAAGTTAGGAAAATCCCGCTTATATTTTATGAAATGATCAATTACTTAGTATTCTAATTTCTATTATATAAAAAAAAATACATTATTTAATAAGTATATATTGGTATACATTTACATTTTTTGTACTTTTTTCTGTTTATGGTGTGCCAATTGAACAATTTTAACTTCTAAGTTAAAGTGAATTATTTCACTAAGATTACAGTTTTATATTTTAGGTACTAGCGAGTCACCCTCGTTTTGCTCGGTTCGTCCCTAGGTTGCTTCCCCATACAAATTTTCATCCCCATTTTCACCTCTTAAGTGATTATTTCCGGGATAAAAACTGCTTTGTCCTTCCCAGGGTTTCAAACTATCTTCTTACCAAATTTGATCTAAATCGGTTCAGTAGTTTCGGAGCTTATTCGGTACAAACAAACAAACAAACAAACAATAAAATCTTTCCTCTTTATAATATTAGTATAAACTAATATAGATTACATTCAAACAATACCTAATAGATGAAATTTATTGTAAATTTGCAAAAAAGTAAATAATTACATAATATCCGGAAGCTTCACTAACCATGGAAGATGACATTTGCTTCCTTTTGCCGCTTGAGTGACTTCTATGAATGGCACAAAATTATATTCCATTACCCACAGATGACTTTACTTGACCAAATGTTGTCAATCGAGCTTTGAAATTGTACGTACCTACCATATTATAAAGTAAGAAGGTCTGGGTTTTTAATGCATTTTTATAGTGACGTTAGCTGTGATAAATAAAGTAAACTAACAGACAGAATTTTGTATATAAGAAGGTATTAATAGGTAGTTCCCAGGAGGCCTTACATTAGTAGGTATCTTCATAGTAAAATATTAATATTACTGGCGACAGGCAGATTACTTCGCTTCGCTCAGGTATATCCCTAGGTGTCTAATAGTAAGTAGCCTATGTGTTACTCGAAGTCATAGTCTATCTGTATACCTACTAAATTTCATCAAAATCCCTACAGCCATTGCCTGCAAGCGTAAAGAAGTAACAAAAATGTATAACACATACCAACAAACTTTAAGCAGTTTGATTTTAGAGAAAATGTGACGTAAACATGTGTATCTCCAATGTTGATTTAGTTTGGCAACATTAAGCTCAAAACACATTAGCTAATGATAAAGATGCACAACAACATGAAAAAAATAGCAAGTTAATCTCCATCTTGTAAGCAAATCCTGCTAACGATAGTTGACTATAAAATAAATATTACATTTCTTTTTTAATTTCTACAATTTGGTAATCACACAGATGCTTAATCGTTTTGTTTTGATCATTAGATGTTAACACAAAAATTGAAAAATTAATATGAAGGAGATCAAGTTCTATTTGTTTAAATAAAACTATAAGTAGGTACAATATAAAATAGAAAAATTAAAAATTTCTCATCTCACTTAGATAAGAAATTGTTGTGCTTGAAAAAAATAAAATGCTTTTTATTAGTAAGCATATCACTTAAGAACGATTAAGCTGATTGAAACAATTCGATAAAAAAATTTAAGGATAAAAGTTTCCTCGAAAATTATTAAAAATTGAAAGTGTTTTTTCTATAGTTTTTTGTATTTCTGGAAACTTAAAGATTACAAATTTTATTTAAATTAACACAACGTCTGGTCTGGTCGTCTGGTAATAGATAATAGGTAGGTATCCTTGGTAGATGTAAAATATTATCTTGATTAAATGAGTAAAATAAATATTTAAGTACCCTACGTAGGTACGAGTACCTACTTGTAATGTTTATAAACGATTTTATATTTTTTATTCAGTAAAAAAATACAATTAAAAATTAATATTAATCAAAAGTAACATATTATTATATTACGTCACAATCCATTACTTAACGATAAGAAGTGTTAAAAAACAACAATATGAATAACAAATACAAAAAAAAACAAAACCGCAATCTATTCATCCCGTTATGACAGGTAGAAGACCCTTAGGGGTGGGGGTTGAATTTGGCCACACCCACTTTCATACAAAAAGACAGGGGGCATTGCGAACCCCATTAGTTGCTGACAAACATCGATAACGAATAATCATGGCGCTCTGGACACCATACGCAGAAGAGTCTGCCTTAGACTTATCAGTGAAGTGCAAAAACGGACAGTTATACACGGAACTTCCGTACCAATTTCCTCAACTGCCTCAAAACGTACAATATCCTTATATAGGATATACTCAACCTATTTACGTGCCGTTAGCTGAAACGTCGCCTGTGTCGTCATGTTCAGGATATGCCCCAATAAGTCCTGTGAGGACTGGTGTGATATCTCCACCGGATTCACCAGTTTCTATCAACGAGAGGAAACGTCCGAGCTATATGATGGATGTAGACACTCTATCAGATGACCCCGATTTCCAAGCTTTTGAGCGTGATGCATTAAGAGCCATGGCAGAGAAGAACGGGGGCACGTTACTCGGAAATAACCCAAGAATGCGTCGCGCCGTACAGACCAGTCAAAATGCCGACGACTCATATAGGAAGCAGAGGGAAAGAAACAATTTTGCAGCAAAACAAAGTCGGGATCGGCGAAAGTTGAGAGAGATTCATCTCGCTTTGAAAGTGACTTATTTGAAAAATGAAATGGCGAAGTTGAAAAGTATGCTTGCTTCGAACACATGTATCAGATGCCATCACCCGAGTCTTTGTTAGATAGTATTGTTCTAATTATTTTTATTTTTCGAGTCATTAGATTAAGAGCGCGTGCAATGTTGTAAATAAATAATTAGCAATAAGTTAATTTATTATATTTTTGTATGGAGTTTTGTCAGCGAATTATATCTAGCAGATTGAAGATTAAATAAATATTATGTATCTTTCATTGAATTCTAAATTATCCCATTAATTATATTTTCACATGATTTTATTTAAGTAGATATTTTTCATTACTCATTAAAAATATATGTTTTAAGAATTATACTAGTAATCATATTATCGCTAGCTATTGGATTAAAAATTCTACACGTCACAATAAAAAATATAAATAACCCAAAAAAAACAAGATATTAAATAATACTTTCTTAGATTTACGCGAATGTTTGACATTTTTAAATAAAACTATCTTTTCGGATTATTTCGCGGATTTATTTTGATTTTTGGTTCCCGACGTTTCGAATGCTTTACAGCATCCATGGTCACGGGAGAGACTGAGGTGTTACATGTCTTAAAGATATAGTTGTTACAGACAGCCTACCCACAATTAACAAAATGAAAATTGCACCAATTACATTACAATATTTTTAACTTTAAACATTTTTTATAATTTTAATTATAATTGAATATGGAAAATTATTTATTTAATTTTTGCTATTATTTTTATAATTATTACAATTTTAAAAATATTAATTAGTAATCTATATTTAGTGTTGCCATTATTATATTTATAACCATAAATAAAAAATATAAAAATATAGTATTAATTATTAAAGCCATATAATTGTTCTATGTGTAATTTAAAAAGTTAAAATTAATTACGGATAATCATTTTAATTTAGTTTGCTATTATTTAAAAACAACTTACTAAGCAACACTATTAATATATACTTTTACAAACACATCAGCTATGTGTTCTAGAAGCACCGTCGCAATACAACATCTGCTGTCTGCAAACATAGCCAGGACCGCCCAAGCCATTACATTCGTTTCGATAGACCTCAAATCCTGGCGAAAGAAAACCGATATCGCCCTAGAATGATTCGAGAAGCCATAGAAATTAAAAAACATCCAAATTTCAATAGGGAAGATGGCTGGGTACTACCATCGTCATGGGATCCTGTTATTAATATAATAAAATCAAATAATAAATATAAACATAACAGACAGGCAGATGTAGTAAGTTCATACTGTGTAGATCAAAATGACAGCTTATCAGATTAATATTTTTCATTTGTAAAAGTATATATTAATAGTGTTGCTTAGTAAGTTGTTTTTAAATAATAGCAAACTAAATTAAAATGATTATCCGTAATTAATTTTAACTTTTTAAATTACACATAGAACAATTATATGGCTTTAATAATTAATACTATATTTTTATATTTTTTATTTATGGTTATAAATATAATAATGGCAACACTAAATATAGATTACTAATTAATATTTTTAAAATTGTAATAATTATAAAAATAATAGCAAAAATTAAATAAATAATTTTCCATATTCAATTATAATTAAAATTATAAAAAATGTTTAAAGTTAAAAATATTGTAATGTAATTGGTGCAATTTTCATTTTGTTAATTGTGGGTAGGCTGTCTGTAACAACTATATCTTTAAGACATGTAACACCTCAGTCTCTCCCGTGACCATGGATGCTGTAAAGCATTTGAAACGTCGGGAACCAAAAATCAAAATAAATCCGCGAAATAATCCGAAAAGATAGTTTTATTTAAAAAAGATATTAAATAATAACACTTAATGACTATAATTATCAAAATATTGGTAAATAAATCAATATTTTTGGTGTCAATCAGTGTTAAAGTAAAGTTATTGCATCTATAGGTCCTATATCTAAATATATATGGGGTAGGCGCGGCTTGCGCAAGCGCTTTGTGATCCGCCGACCAATGAGAATGATGCCAATACTTTTATATATTGGGGCTATAAACCTAAGGATTAACTAAGCAATAAGCTTTTTCAATATTTATTTTTTGTTGGCTTATTACGTTATAATAATAAGGACTTTTAAAGACTGTTGAAACAACTTTGGAGATACCTAAGGATTATATTTATTGTGGCCTATCCATACTAATATCATAAATGCGAAAGTTACTCTGTCTGTCGGTCTGTCTGTTACCTTTTCAGTTTTTACGCTTAATTCGCTAAACTGATTTAGATGAAAGGTACCTACCTATGGGCTATGGATATAGTTTGAGATCCTGGGAAGGACATAGGATAATTTTATCCTGGAAACCATCCTTTAAAGGGGTGGAAGTGTGTATGGGGAATCAATCATTTCGGAAAACGGTTGTATATTTTTTATTTTCTAAGTACCTACTTACCTACTTTTCTATACCTATATATTTACATTGTAAATATACATATAAGTATAATATATCGTCTATTTTATACCTATTAACATTTAAAATGTACCCGAGTGAAGCGAGGGTGAGTCGTTAGTTATTTAGCTATAAAGGAAGCATATTTCTTATTCAGCTTGTCACGCTGATTTAAACTCGTATTATAAATACGGATATCTGTGAGTTTGTTTATTGCTTCTTCTCTCTGTAATTAGTCATCTAATTTACGTCAATATACCCTGTAGGTATATAGACATCGACATATCTATCTATCTACATCCTTTGTGAACTGACAAAAGCTTGTATAATACCTACTAATTTTTTTCAGTAGTCACCGAAAGGACTTTTAAATTATATAAAAAAGATTTTTTTTATTTGTTTTAGTCGAATTTAACTTAACTTATAAAATTACCTACGTAGCTACTATTTTTTGTAATAATTTATCACAAATGAAAAATAAAAAGCAGTCATGAGGTCTGCCGACAGAGATGTAATCTTAAAACTATAAACATATTTTTGGATATTCAAATTAATTCTTAGATTTTAAATTAAAAATTATAAACTAAAATGTTTACATTTATCTGGTTTTGACATCTGTCGGCACTCTGAGTGTTAGCGTTAACACGTCACGTGACTATGTCGATGACGACTTACATGAATTTACACCCCATCCAAAACTGCCTATAGAAGTTTTCTCATCAATAAGTGTTATTAACTTGTTTTCTATATAGGTTGTATATCCTCAATGAGAATAAAATTAATCTATAGATACCTATACCATTTTGAAATGACATTTTTATAGCCATAGAGAGTATTTCTTTACTTAAAACATAAAAATCTTTCCTTTACTTATCAATCTTAGATTTACGCGAATATTTGACATTTTAAATAAAGCTTTTCTTTTCTATTCTTTTTCTTTTCAACTAGGTATATGATAACTATTGAGACTTCTACAACCTTAGTCTCTCCCGTGACCATGATTGCTGTAAAACTTCGAAACGTCGTTGACCATTAAATTAAAAATTATCCGCGTAAAATCTGAAATATACTTTTATTTAAAATTCCTGAATCTAGATAGTACTCATCATTTTATGTAGGTATATAGCCTTATACATACTTACATACACACATACACATGATTGCTGTAAAACAATTGAAACATCGCGAATTAAAATTTAAATAAATCCACGAAAAAATCTGCAATTTCATTTATGTACTACATATGTACGTAGAAATATGAACAAATACTCGTAGTATTGACTTATATCGAGAAACAAAAACGTAAACAAAAATAATAAACATCTGATTTTACCACGTTTTCTTTTTTAAGTCCATAAATATGGGAAAATAAAAAAAACGAATTAACTTAGACTAAATTTATTTTGCCTACATACATATTACATACAATTAAATAAAGACACTATTGCTTCTGTTTGACCACGTGCGGTAAGTCGAACTTGCCTCGAACACACTTTAGTTTTACACCGGGACAATCTTTTACTCTGAAAAAAAAATCCAAAAGTAATATAAAGTAATAATAAGAAAATAAGTCATAAAAAATAAACATAGTAGGTATACCTAAGTGAAAGACTTTCGCCGAAATACGCAAGAGCTCATAGACTTAAAGCGTATATTTTTTAGCCATAGCTTTTTATTGGTTTTTTTTTTTTAACTTTTACTGGATAGAAAGAATTTTTAAACTCGATGCTATTGAGAATAAAACAATATTTAGTGACAAACTTATGAAATGAAATTAAAAATAAAAGATAGAAACACGACATAATTAAACAAAAATAATTTACAATGACATTTTTATTTTTATTAAATAGTTTTTATTCATTTATCACAAAAAAATGTTCTTAATACAAAATTAAGAAAAAACTGACCTGCCAACTCTGACTAGGACGATGTTATGTTCCTGTAAGTTGTGACCGATGCCCGGCACGTAAGCGACCATCTCGCGACCATTTGACAGACGGACAAGAACGCATTTACGGTTCGCCGAATTAGGTTTTTTGGGCTTTTTGATTAATGTTTTTAGCACAACACCCTGAAATAAAAAAAAAACATGTATAACTCCTTTAGTAGACTATTATAGTTGTGTTCATGTTGGCGTAGTATGAAAATGTACTTACAATATATACTTACTTAATATTGAATTAAAAATGTACGTTTAGGTATAGGTATGTCATTTTCCATTTTATAAGAAAAAAGAAGAAAAATACTATACAAATCTTATTGGATAGAAATATTATTTACTAATTTTATGTGGGTACGTAGGTACCTATTACAAATTTAAGTTTAACAAATTCATTTATTTCGATTTCAGAGCAGAAAAATTATTAAAAAAAAACAAAACAAAACCCTTACTTTAGCAAAAGGATTTCCATTCAACGGGTTTCTTGACTTCCTTTTCTTAATGTGTGGACCAGTTTTGTGCATTTGTGCGAGAGACGCCATAGTTCTTGAAAGAACTGATGTTGATGAAGCTTGGAGAGTTGTTCCACTGAGAATGCTGGATATAGGTGGTACTTGACGTATCAGAGACTGTGTAGGTATAGCTATAGAAGAATAAATAAATTAAAATGGGGAAAATAAATACATACATATATTCCTATCGTAGTGATCGAAGTACTTGTTAAACATATCAATATCAATAAAATACTTAAAAGTAAATACTGAGTGATTAAAAATGAAATCAAGTAACAACTTCATTTTGAATAAACACGAAACAAAACTTAATAAAAGAATATAATATTTGATATCTAAAAATACATATACATCAATAAATTATGCGTACTTTAGACAGACGCTCTTTATTAAATTAAAATAAATTTCCAAATAGCTCCAGATAAAAATAACGGTAATGCATTAGGACAAAGTGCCCGAAAACAGCAGGTGCTAAAAGAAACACTCCTGGGATAATCCTGCAAATATTCTTTCAAATTTCAACTCTACGCATAAGATGGAAGCGATATAGAATATTTTTTCAAAAGACTACCTAAAGGACTAAATGAATACTGTTATTTGCCAATGTATTGTACGATCGCGGTTTGAAGGCGTTTCCTCAATTGTGTAAATTGTGGTCGATCGCTGCGGGCGCTAGGGTTTAGCGGGACTTATATGATTGACATATTCAAGGTGTGCGATTTGATACAGTGGGAGCATCAAGTGTGGTCCGTTATTTGCAAAGAGTAAAATGAAATCGTAGTAAAATCACTAGGGATCGATCAAAACTTTGCAAAGAAGTTGCTTTGGCATTTTGATATGAGATTTGGGCGTGTAACTTATTTATTGCGTTAAATATTCATATCCTATTTTTGTTTAAATATTTAAATGATATCTTTCACATAAACAGTTAAGTCCGTTCTAATGCTGAAACTATATAATTTACAACAGTCAAACTCATGAGCTTTGCGAGTGTAAGGTGTAGTTTCTAAATAATTCTACTGCACATGTTAACTAAGGCTTTAACGCTTGAGATATCTATAGCGTGTGTATTGCATGTCAGTTCTTGCAAACTCCGAATTGTGAAATGACGTATTTAAAATTAAATTACTTATTTCAATAAGATTGGTCTTTCTTAGTTTATAATTGATAATTACACATTTTACAAGATATGAATTGAGCTTTTAATAAATGTTAAACTATTGAACTTTTGCCTTAATCTTGCTTTTTCTATGTAAATATTTTAAGTAGATTAATGATTTAAGGCAATAAACTAAAATATTGCGACGATTAAAGGCCAGTTAAACTTCACTAGAAGTTTGGTAAAAAAGTACATTAAAAATATGTATTTAACATGTTACAGCTACCTTATCAGCATATTCTTGGAAGATAAAAATCAGGAGTTAGAATTATTTGGGCAACAACTAAAATAACAAACGTATTCCCGGGATGGAGACGATATCACGTACTGTCCAGCGGACTGTTATTGTTTGAGATAATCGTCGCCAAGTGTCTCCCGGGACTTGCATCTGTCTAGCGCACGCAAATATTTTCCGCTTGGTCCAAGTGAGGAACTGGTATAGTTAACCTTCTATACTAAAGATCGTTTATTTTACATTAAATATATATATAAAATGAATAAATTGTAGAAACACGTTTGATGAAGCAAATGAATGTTTTAGGGAATTAAAATGTTAAAGTTTAATATATAGAGCAAAAATATTCTCCATATTTAAATTCCCATGTGTACCAATTTTCATGGCGATAGTTTAAAAGGTTGAGAAGTTAAATGCGCAGCGCTATCTAATTGTAAGTTACAGAAAAATAGATAGCATAAAAACCGCATTTATTGAAAAACAATTATGTTTCCAATAAAGCAATTGGCGGACAACTCTCAGATTTTTCCCAAACGAGCGAAACGAACGATTTTAATAAATTACGAGATAGGTATACTTCAAATATTAATTATAAATTTCGAAATTTCATAATATTATGCTATTTTTCAAAATCCCAAAACACATTTATCGCTACAATCTATAACTGGAGCCTCACCTAAACAGTACCTGCTCTTTATGCGGATTAAAACCCGCTAATAGTGGGCATTGTCCGCAGATGACGGACACAGAGATTTGAAATTATCCTTTCTGACAACGTCTCTCACAATGTAGCAAAAAAAATTGGCAGACTCAATAGGCAAGAGTTGAGCATTGAACGTTCCCAGAAACGTTGTAAATCATATTTGTGTAAGAATAACTGAAATGGCACAACTTTATCACTGATAGATTATATCCCTGCAGTTGCAATTGTCAATTCATGTTACACAATGCGTTTAGTTGTTGCAAATAACTGTATATTATTATCGTACCAACTAATCCAAGATACGAATATTTTATAATTTAGTCTTCTTCTTAGAAGGATTATTACACATTTCATATAAATTTTTTGAGTTTTAATAATGAAGATTGGTTTAAAATAAATATTTTTATATTTGCCTAAGCTATGTTCATACCAAATTTCATCTTAATCGATTTTTACTTTATCCATTACAAACAAACATACAAAAAAACTTGTTTTTCTCTTTATAATATTAGTATAAATAAGACTTAGAGTAAGAGGCTAAAAAAAGTGCTTAAACATTAAAATAAAATTAATATACACATTAGTTTGGCTCGTGATTCTGCTCGCGTGGCTGATACTAAGGTAGGTACCTACGTCAATAAAAATTAGCCTATATCCAATCATTGCAAAACAAAACTTATTTACATTTACTGATTCTCTCACAAGCTTTACCACTTAAAATATTAGTGTGAAAAGATAATATTTTTTAAATTAAGCTTAGTAATATTATACGTAACGTTATGTTCATTTGACCATATCTATAAAAATATTATAAAAGTTTGTGAGATTGTGAGTTTGTGACGTTGTGATTTAGATGAAATTTGGTAAAAAGATAGTTCGGGACCCTGGGATGGACATAGGATACTTTTTATACCGGAAATCATCCCTTAAGGGGGTGAAAATGGGGATGAATGTTTTGTATTTTGTATGGGGCATAAAGTTAGGGACGAACCCGAATGAAGCGAGGGTGAGTCCATAGTTTTTATATAGTTACCTACATATTAATAAAATAAATATAACATTTGAATAGTTACGGATTTTCACTCTCAGTATGCTAAGCATGAAAAAGCTTCCGCGTATTAAAAAAACCATTAAGCTTCTGCGTTGAAGCGATCAAATGTGACACAATTGATGCTTTCTATGAGAAAGTTTGATCTCGGGAAGTCCCACGCGTCTGGATATTTGTTAACATTTTATTTTCTAAACGAAATAAAAATGGATAATAATTGAAGACTCATTTTTAGTTACAACTTAAAAGTATTTTTTATATTTATATGTATATCAGAACCCGCGGCCACTAAAACTACAAAAAAAATATATGAAAAAGGATAAAAGTTAGGTTTCATACAAACTTTCATCCCCTATTATACCCCCTTATGGGATGAATTTCGAAAAATGCTAAAACATATACATATTTATTTAATGGTGTAGAAGAGTAGGTATTAATACCAAGTTACAAGTAATTCTGATCATAAATATATTTTTTGGATTGTATTATAACGTGTTTTCCCGTAGGAATGAGATAATCTTCCGCGGTAAAAAGTACCCTATGTCACTTTCCAGCTCTCCACCTATCTTCATACAAAAAATCACGCCAATCCGTCACTCTGTTTTGACGTGAAAGAAGGACAAATATATATATATGTATATTGTATATGAGTATAGGTATATCTATTGAAATGCCTATAGGTGTGTATGATTTTTTATCCTATGATCCTTGATTGATCCCATTTTTACATGTCACTATTTGGTATAGATTTACATAAGTTATGTAGATACTAAAACGAGAATGATGCGGGTATATTATATTTAATTATAAATTAAAAATTAAAAAAAAACCTTACGTAAATTACTTGTCATTTAACGATTACACTGGCACACGTGAAGCACTAAATCGAGTAATCATACGTCAAAATGCCTTACATCATTTTGGAAAAGAGCTGATACTCTTACACTGCTGGACCAATATTAACCAAACATAGCTAAGAACCACCGCAAGGAAACTGGCTTTCAAATGAAAACAAACCGCATAGAAATCGGTCCATCCGTTTAAGAGCTACGATGCCACAGACAGACAGACAGATAGACATCGACGTCAAACTTATAATACCCCTCTTTCGCGTCGGGGGTTAAAAAGAGTGCAAATAGTTTTAAGCGGATTATAACGGCACTTTGTAATTCGATCGTTGGTTTGTTTATTGTTTAAGAAGGTTACAATACCATGTAGGACCATTTAAAAAGAAATTTTATTTATAAATAAGAGGTAGATCTCTCCAAGTCTAAGTAGCCAATCGTCAACCATATAGATGCCATTTTTTGAGAAAATTATTTTAGATGTTTATTTATTTTAGGAATACACATAGATTTCTTTTCGTTCGGATAAATGAAAGGTCTCCGAAGGACCAATTTTGTGAAGTTATAATATTATAAGTTTAGTAGAAGTTTACATTTCTATTATAACTACATATAAATTATCGATTTTTACTGAATCTGTCGACATTTTGAGTTTGCGCGGGAAAAAATAACGTATGACATATTATCGAAAAACTATTATTTTTTAACTTAGCATCAATTTGTGACTTCGTTTAAGATTTTTAATATTTATGGACAATATAGAATTGCTGCGTTTGATGTTGGAAAATTACGAATTAGCCGTAGACTATTTGTTTCTTCCGTCATATTCAAAATACGGACGATTGTCTTATAGCTTATTGATTTGTATAGCAGCTTATAGAAACTAATAAAGGTATCCATACTTAATATTATAAATGTGAAAGTATGTTTGTTTGTTTGTCCTTCTTTCACGTCGAAACGGAGTGACGGATTGGCGTTATTTTTCGTGTGGAGATAGTTGAAGGGCTAGAGAGTAACATGGCTGCTTTTTAACGCGGGAGATTATCTAATTCCCACGGAAAACACGTTATAATACAATCCAAAAAAATATATATGATTAGAATGACTTGAAATTTGGTATGAATGCTCTTCAATAAAATTAAATAAATACGTGTTTTAGCATTTTTCGAAATTCATCCCCTGAGGGTGTAAAATAGGGGATGAGAGTTTGTATGAAACCCACCCTTTTAGTTTTTGTTTTAGTTCTAGCGCGAACAAAGCCGCGGTTCCTGCTAGTCTATACATATAATAAAATTGTAACTAAGTCGAATCTGTACATTAAATATTTTTTGGAAAATCTTATTGAAATAGACATTATTATCGATACAAAGTCCGAATCTATAGTTTTTAGAATTTTTTTCTGTCTGTCTTTTACCGCATCACGAGAAAGCCACTGGACAGATTTTGGTGAAATTTGGTATGATGATAGCTGGATATCCAGGTCAACATATAGGATACTTTTTACCGCGGGAAAATATCTCATTTCTGAGAAAAAATACAAAAACTGCATTGTAAGTATACTAATATGTAAAACCTAAGAATTTGATTCTTGTTCATCTGAACGCCGGCGGAGCCGCGGGCAATGCTAGTAATAAATAAAGTTTTAATTTCAACTGTCAATCTAAGAACTCTATATTCAATTGAAATATGAGAAAGAAAATTATTTTGTACACATAATATAACTTTTAATAACAAACCAAAATGTCAACTCAGTGAAAGAAGTTCTTAGCATTCTGTCCGCATAATCGCAAAACGAAATAGCAGAGTCATTGTCCAGTACTTTTGGGAATAGTTGACTAAATACAATATATTTGCAAGTAACGCAAAGTGCGACAATATGCACAAAAGGGAGGTGTGAATGAGATATTCATCAGTGGTCAGCGCTGACTCATGCCATGCTTGCAACCCTTATTTACAGATTTTTAACGTACAGTTCGCAGATAAATAATTTATAGAGATTTTTTTTAACTATAATTTTCTCATAGTAAGAATTCCTGATTAAATTTTCTAAAAAATATCTCCAAGACCAATTTACGACCCATTTTTAAGATCTAACAAAGGATACAATGTATTGCGTGTAGTAATGAATATTATATAGGAGAGTGTGGGTTTGATTACAATACGGGTTAAAGGTTTGCGAGTTAGCAATCTGAAGTACCTATCTATTGTTTTATCAATCAAGCTCATAAATTAAAATAATGAGTCGAGTACATAATAAATGCTTTAAATTAATTAAATATACAAATTTAAGGCTATTTATTAAAAAAAGGTATTTCTTAATATTATTTAATCTATGTTTGTAATTTTTTTGCTGATCATACATATCCCAGTGGACATAATCCCGGTCCACGCGGAAGGGTTCCACGCAAAAGACAGGCGCGATCGCAATCCGTATCAAATAATATTAAAATTATATACAAAGGAATTTAACCTTTCAGTCGTAGGATTTAACGCTCTTTTTCCACACATTTTGTTTGCAGCTGCCAAATTTGATGCAGATGTCGATTGGAAATGACATGTCCACTAAAGTGACAGTTATGTACGGTTTCCTATTTACTTGAGGATTTATTTTGGTTTTGTTTGGACAAAGGCGACGTACTCGTAAATAGTGACCACATGATACAATTTTTTCATATACTATAATATAAAACAACGACGAGTGTTTGTTCGTAATGTGTTTATGAAGCTATAGCTCAAACACTAGATTTACATTATTATTACGTAATCAGGATATGTTTTAATGTAAAAATTACTATAGGGATCATTTTAGAGCATTAGCAGTAACTAATCAAGATTATGTACAATGAAAATTGAGATGCGACCCTAGTTTTAATAGGTAGATACTAGATACCTAGCTAGTGCTTGAGTGCAGAGAGGGTGACGTGCATGGGCGGCGATAGAATTATTTGCAGGGGGTTTCATCTTCTTCTTCACATTAAACTACTAACTAATCTTTAAATGATGAACTTAATAATTTTTATTCTTTTTATAGTATTCTGAATTAGTGCTTGACTACGTTCCACCTGATGGTAAGTGGTAACGCAGTCGTAGATGGTAAGTCGCACTAATTCAGTAGCCACCTATTCACTCTTGCCTTGAAGACACCCATGTTGTAATCGGACGGAAACACCGACGATCACACCGATATTCATATCTTATTTATCATCTATTTTTGCAGTATCTGAAACCTGGATTTTACTAATACAATTTTATTTCTTTAACTTTTTTTATATATTTTCCTTAATGGCAGGGAGGTGCAAGTGCACAACTTGCACCCCCCCTCCCCCCATCCGGCGCCCCAGGTGGATTACTAATATATGATGATACACTTATGAACATGGGCGTACCCAGCTTTTGGTCCAGAGGGGGGCAAAAAAAAATTTCCCGCGGTAAAAAGTATCCTATATGTTGACCCGGCTATTATCATACCAAATTTCATTAAAATCTGTCCAGTGGTTTTCTCATGATGCGGTAACAGACAGACGGACAGACAAAAATTCTATAAACTATAGATTCGGACTCTGTATCGATAATAATGTCTATTTCAATTAGATTTTCCAAAAAATATTTAATGTACAGATTCGACTTTGTTACAATTTTATTATATGTATAGATGTATAGATATGGGCATTATTTTTCGTCACCTACTTTTAGCCCTTTCAAAACAATAACATGTCAAATAAGTACGAACTCGCAGGCCAGTATACAAAAGCTAGACTACATTCGATAATCTTTGTAAGTCCTTGGCGCGATAGCGAGTGGCTGGCGAGCGTGGAGCTCACCGGTCGCTTGCTCTAGCGTTTTGTATGAATACAAGTGGACCGGGCGCGCAGCGCAATTTTTTTATAAGTTAACACATCATATATTGTAAAGTAATTCGTAACACTCGTAACCTGACTCAAACATAACTTTATCGACAACAGTAGGTACGTAGACATACACGATCCAGGGGGGGCACCTGCCCCCCCCTGCCCCTACCTGGGTACGCCCATGCTTATGAATTTATGATATATGAAGACATTTACATTATATTTATATACCTATTAGAATTAAAAGATTAAATAAAATGACAGGATTAAAGCTTAGTTGTTAAGAAGTACTTCTATAGTAATATTATAAAGAGACAGAGTTTGTTTGTATGTTTGAACACACTAATATCCAGAACTACTAACACAATTAAAAAAAATATTGTCGCATTAGATAGTCCGTTTACTGAGGAAGGCTATAGGCTATATATAATTATGGTACTACCCGAGGAAGCGAAGCAGTAATCATAAATGTCAACAAATCGGGCAGACTCCATATTGTAAAACTGATCTTTAAGTATATTGGAAGATAGAAAGTGGGCAAAGTCACAGGTATTGCTTCCGTCTTCCGTTACCATTCATTTTTTGGTGTATCTTGATTTTATTTTTATTGTAAGTTTTGATTTTATACTAACATTAATTGCAATAATTAAAATGTCAGTATGATCAATAAAGCACCTAAACTATAGATTACTTTAAACATGATGTTACTCCTAATGTATTACATACACCTAAGTGGCCGTTCAAGTACTATGTAATATTTAAGGAGTTTAGACCCCCTTCTCCTCTGTGTAAGCAAAAATAAGAAAATAACAAAAATAGTAAAATAATTAAATTATTATTATTACCTGGGCTATCTTTAATATTAATAATGTATAGAATTCAGTTGTAAGTGAGGCATTACTTAAATCCAACACTTAATTTTAATAAGAATGTACATTTCTGAACTTTTTACATAATTTTAAATTGGCTAAATATATCATTCTAAATGTTGCTTATTAGTCTTTAGCCTACTGGTGGGTTACTAACAATATTGTAATTATAGCAATAAATCATATTATTTACCTTTCAATGATGTACATTGAGACTTGAATCCAATTGTTAGCATGGACATCCCTTTCCTGAGTAAATTCATCTGAAAGTTAATAAAAGTAATAATATAAAATAATAATACAACACACAAAAATTACAAATATAAATTAATAACAAAGAGAATGTTTAATTACCTTATAAGCTTAACTTTATTTAATTCTATTTAAGATTTAATAAAAAATTTTAAGTGAAAATTGTTCATAACATAACCTAGAAAATTAAATGTATTTTGACATCTGATTGACATTAACTTTTACGTTTAGAAAAACTATCTTTAACAGAACATTATTATTACATTTTAAATACGTGTTTAATTAGATTCCTTTTAAAAGATTTATAAAAAATCACCAATAAATAAAATTGATTAATAATATGGTTGTTTATTTTGAACTTAAAAGATACTTCATGCATAGCTTATATAGATGTCGCTAGTAGTAGAAGATTAGTACTGCCATTGGACGGTAGATGGCGCTAAGATATTAAATATAAAATTGAATTGACCAATCCCAATACAAAGAATTCATTATTTTTTGATTCGTAATGGGCATCCGATTGAAGTTTTTGCAGAAGACTAATATATTTGAAGAAATGAATAATCTATACATATAATAAAATTGTAACCAAGCTGAATATATGTACATTAGATATTTTTTGGAAAAACTTATTGAAATTGACTTTATTATCGATACAGAGGCCATTTCTATACTTTTTAGAATTTTTGTCTGTCTGTCTGTTACCGCATCACAGAAAAACTACTGGAACATTTTGATGAAATTTGGTATGGTGATAGCTGGTTATCCGGGTCAACCTATAGGATACTTTTTACCGTGGTAAAATATCTCATTTCTGAGAAAAAATACAAAAACTGTAATATAAGAGTATGCTAATATGTAAAACCTAAGAATTTGGTTTTTGGTCATTTGAACGCGAGCGGAGCCACGGGCAATGCTAGTAAAAAAATATAAAAGGAGTGTCACAAATAAGAAATTTTTAAATACGTAATTCTATCACATTTATTTTTATTTATAATTATGCATTTTGTTTAATTGTGCAATTAAAGTTAAATTATAAATATAACTTTAAATATAATACAAATTTTATAATAAAATAGCTGTTATTATCCTGTATACCGCTAACAAGAAGTGTTAGGGAATCTCATTTGCCGGTTTTTATTTAAATAGTCTGTACACGTAATAAAGAGAAAAAATAGAAAAAGTTTTGAAATGACAGGTGCTTTTTGTACAAGTACCTACTGAAATTACGTGTTGAAATAAGTTCTAGGCTTTGTTATAAAAATTTCAATAAATAAAATTGTTTTTCAAGATTAAATATTACCTACCTGAAAACGAGAATTTATAAGACGATGAGTGGCTGATACAGTTTGATTGAATTAAAACTTCACCTTAAATCTCCCAAGTTTTATGAGCCCAAATACCTTACGATTTATATGGCGTCTTTAGCATAATCTTTAAAGGCGTATTTTGATATCCTGGAATTTGGATGCTCTTAGATATAGCTTTTTAAGTAATCTACATAAATGTGAATGAATTTGTAATTGAATTTAGTTCTTTTAATTCACCTAACAGTAACTGCAGGCAATGAACAAATATTTTTGTCACCAAAAATTTGCTTCAGGCTATTTTTAATTGTTTTTTTTTAAATACAAGAACTATCGAAAATTAAAATAGAAAGTAAAAGACTTGTAGAAAATGCCATCATACCTTTCGCTGACTTCCAGGTATAAACAGATAAATTGAAGTAGTTAATTACTCGTATCATTTTCCGGAACGAACCAAGTAGGTATAAAAATGTAGATAATTTTATAACAAATTTAATTATATAGGGTTGTCATACTAAAATATCTCCAGACCAGAGGTTTCTTTGGAATTAGGATCCACCACATATTCGGTTCCAGCCGTGAGCCGATACAAATCAAAGCACATCGACTTCGAAAATATTTAATTAGGTATCTATGGTTAATGAAAACTACCAATCAGTTATTTTTCACATTTTAGTGTATTTTTTTTTGTGTTTTTTGTAGCGGTCTCATGGAACAATTTCGACAGATTCTTTACGATAATGTTGGTGGGTTTTACTTACTACGCGACGCTTTGGTACCTTTAATTATTATTAATAAGTACAGATAAAATCAAATGATGGAGTCATTTTTTTTACAAATTTTTAATATAATATATTTTTAACAAAACTATTACAAGATTCATTAAATTATTACGTAATTTCATTAAATTATAATATATAAATATTTTTAAAAATCTATAATATATAATTATTCCTAAAATTTATTTGGCAAATGTATGGTTGTCGTCGATGACACCAAAAGTCTCGAAGCCAGTTCACAGCGTCTAATCCTGCACAGTGAGGTTCCGCTGGCTCGTCACTAAAAGTAAATAAAAAACAGTTGTATGTATTGTATGTATGTATTCAGCCTTTTTAAAAAAAATATATGACATCATGATTAAATAAAACATCGACACGAGAAGAAAATAAAATAAAATAGTTTTTTTTTGTGTTTCGCGTCAAAACTATAATAACATGTGTTATGTTGTACCTTTTACTGATTCCTTTTAAAATCAGAATTTATCTTAATTTTGAATTTATCAAATAATCAAAGACCAAAAGTTATTTTTTTAGGTTTAGCTTTAGGTAGGTAGTATTTGCCCAAAAGACATATCCAATTCAAAATATGTAATTTTTAGATTGTAATATAAAACAGTTCAAAATGAATTAATATTGTTTATTTATTTTTTCTAACATGGCTGAAATTAAATAATGCTTTTTTATTATTTAATAATAAAAATAAACGCAATCAAATCGTTATGACCAAACAAAACAACATTTAATTAAACTTCTGATAATCAATGAGACTTAACCAAGATATATTTACTTAAATGATGACAATGGAATTGTGAAGATAATTAAAGTTTATTTCATATAGGATGGTGCGGGTGACATTTGTAATTAGGCAGAGCTAGGGATGTGGTAAGTAATGATGAAAGGAATCGATTAGGTATTTACGAGTTAAGGTCCTTTATAAGGGCAGGGTAAATGCGATTAAATCCACTTATCAAAATCTTCTATACATCTGAGTCGAATCTGTACATCGAATATTTTTTGGAAAATCTTATTGGAATAGCTAGTATTATCGAAACAGAGGCGAATCTACAGTTTTTAGATTTTTTATCTGTCAGTCTGTCTTGGAAAGCATCACGAGCAAAACCATTGGAGAGATTTTGATGAAATTTGGTATGATGATAGCTGATTATCCGGGTCAATATGTAAATAGGATAATTTTTACTGCGAGATAAAATCTCATCTCTGAGCAATCTAACCGTTAAAACTTACCTAGGGACGAACCCGAGCGGGACGAGGGTGAGTCACTAGTTTTGTTTATAAATAAATGAATCTTTCGTTGTAGTATTTTACTTATGTAATTCGCTTAAGGGTTGTGCTTTAATGATATTATTATTAGCTTAGCATTTTGCCATCTATTCTCATTTCAAAAAATTAATTTATGTATGTATTATTATACAAAATGTAACTCGTTAGGAATTCACAATTTTTTTTTATAAGTATTTCCCAAATTATATTGCTTTAGTTAATTTAAAAATCATTTGGGCACCATTCATTATTATTATGTTCAAACTTTAAAAACATTGTCACCAACCAGCCATATCTACTTAAATATAAAACAAAGTCGGGTTTGTTACAACACTTATAACTCGAGGACGGCTAGACCGATTTTTATGATCTTTGTTTTGTTGGATTTGTCTTCATCCCGCATAGCAGAATAACTATTAAAACATGAGAAAAATTCACGAAAAAAATTATATTGAAAAAAAATCGATTCCATATCTACTACGCGTCAAAACGTCCCTAGGACGAACCTGAGCGAAGCGGGGGTGAGTCGCTAGTCCTATATAAAATGTATTATAACCTACCTAAAACCGTTTCCGTTACTGTCGGCCCACTTGTGAAATCCCGTTTCTTCTATGTTTTCTCCTGTAAAAAATTAAGATTAAATTAATTAATAATTAAATAAAAGGTATAAACAAGATTAAATTTCACTTTATTATATTGGAATAGCAAAGGAATTTTTGTTGGTTTTGTAGTGTATTTTAAAATAGTGTTAATTTTGACTTTAAATTTATGTTCAGATATAAATTTTTTTCTCTCATATTTAAAACTTGAATATTATACTCCAATAAATGTGCAATAATTTCGCAGCAAAATCTAGTACAATTAAAAAAAAATATGGTTAAATATAACAAAATTTGGTAAACAAAGACTAAATCCCACTTCATTCTCTTATCTTCAAATCGATTTCTTGCCCAGCAATTGTCTATGTTGTTAATTGAGCTAATAATTATAGGGTGCGACCTTCTTCAAATTGGAGATGATAATAATAAAACAATATAAAGATAACAAATTGTGTCAATTTATTGCTAAGTAATGTCCCAAGGGATGATTGAAAATATGGCGGAGCTTAATAAGTCAATTTTAAAAGGGTTTAGGGTATAATGCTATGTATCATCGCCAAAAATAATGATATTATTGCAGTGTGAAATAAAGGATAATACTTGTTTGAAACGATAACCACAGTAGGGCAAAGAGTCATACGTCTGAATGTGACTTGAGCTACCGGTTCGATTTCCGTGCAGATTAAGCACTTTTACCCAAATAGTAACATAAGGACCCTGAGAATAAAATGAAGGGTTATTATTTTGATATCTGCCAATATTGTTAGTGATTAATTTTTGTTTAATAGTTTTTAATAAAAAAATCACCCTTTACGGGTGGAATGATTTTTTAACATTGATTTTGAAGTTCGTAATTTTTTTAGTCAAAAGTATTAGTAGTTAAATGAATTAAATTTTAAATATATTTTGACATTAACACACAGCGCCATCTAGTTCCATGGTAAGCTATGAGGCTTGTGTTATGGATACCAGATAGTTGATACACTATACATATATAACTTTAAATACATACATATGATAAATATAAACACCCATGACTGCAGTAGAAACATTCGTGCCTATCACACAAATGAATGCCCCCAGCAGGACTCGAACCCGCGATCGCTGGCACAGCAAGTAGGGTCACTACAAACTGAGCCAAACATGTCGTGAAAATTCAGTTCAGTTAATAATTATTTATGTCCTGTCCTATGGCACAATAGACGCTATCTCATAACTTATCAATAATAACTTGCTTATCAACGATTTTATATGAATAAAATAAATACACAACACATGTATGTGTATGTATGTGTTCTGCCCTTTTAACGTCCCACTGCTGGGCACGGTCTTCCCTTCATGCGAGTGGGATCAGGCCATAGTCCACCACGCTGGCCAAGTGCGGGTTGGCGGACTTCACATGTCTTTCGAAAACCTGCTAGGTTTTCTCAGACATACAGGTTTCCTCACGATGTTTTCCTTCACCGTAAGGCAAGTGGTAATCGTGTTAGAAATGATTCGCACATGAAAATATCAGAGGTGCGAGACCCGGGATTTTAACCCGCTTCACTCGGTTTCCCAAGCGAGCGCGTTACCACTGGGCTACCACTGCCTATTACACAACACATACCTAATATAAAATAGTAGACGTTTCTATACTTTAAAGAAGATTCTGTAATCTATATATCTAATAAATTATAAATAACTTTCTTAAATAAAAATTATTGCTTTTACAGGTAAATCTGCCACCTGCAGCCACGGCGGTTGAGATATTAAAAAGATTTATTTAAACAATAGTGATTGTTATCCAGTGGACAGAGTGTTATATCTTTCGTAAATCTATCGACTTTCTTTTAACTCGTGTTGTACGTAACTTAGCAAATAAAAACTTTTTTGGTAAGATTTATCCACCTGGTCTATTTCCTAGATCATTTAAAGTTTTATAACGCTTCAGTGATATGTTCAATGAATAAAATCTTTTTTACTGTTAGTTTTACGTTTTGTCATATTATGATAAAAATATCATTTATTCTAAAATGAAAATACAGAAATAAAAACATATAAAAATTAAAGTTTTTAAAACAGGGAAATTCTAAAACTTCTCTTATATCTCTTTAATGGTAATCAAACCTTAAATTCATTCTCGTTAATCAGGAAATCAGGGAATTTTTCACTTGCGCCTTTGTTATGGTGTGTCTTATGGGACTTTTACGGTGTTGAAGATATTGTAATATATTAACAGTGAACGAAGTGGATGAATTCTCAAAAACGTTTCACCATCGTCATAATATTAGGAAACTTGTATAAAACTGCTTACCAGTGAGTAAATGACAGTATTTAATGTTTTTCTTAAGTGAAATAAAAAAAAAGATTTGAAAGAAATAGACTAGGCACCATAATCTTTTGTCGAGCTAAGCGAAATGGCAATTGTTTAGTTTAAACAAAACTGCAACTTTCAACAGTTTTTCTTACAAATTAGTATAGTGTAGTTTATCCTTAAGAGGTAATATTAATCGCACAGCGGTTCTTTTGAAAACTACTACGCCTTGCTGGTAAAGTAACTAAACGTAAATTGTAACTTTGATTATTTTTAACTAGCCACTCGCCCTGAACTCGCCCATTTGTACTTGTATCATATATTCACATCCTTAGACTTTTATCAAAAAAGAAAATTTTATCAAAATCACACGAATGGCACACGTTACGAATGGTTACCAACATACATTCATTTTGAACTTTTGAAAAAAGGACCAGATTTTCAAGACATAATGGTCGTACATTTTATTTGATAGGTACCCTGTCTATACCTAGAAATTAATATAATTGAACTCTACATTGTTTACTTTTTTTCGCTTCTCAGTTTTATTTTTTTATGAATTATTATATGAATTGTATGAAACAACATTTTTAATAGGTATGTACATATATATATATATATATATATATATATATATATATATATATATATATATATCTGATTAGTTAAGTCAAGAACTTTATAAAGAAATAGATTCCAGCATGCCCATTAAAAACATAAGAACAGAAGAATCTTTACTTAGGTACCATAAATATTTCTCCATATCCTGTAATCTTCTAGATTGTTTATGCCCAGCCATACTATTAACTTGAACTCGCTGTTAGTTATGTTAGGTAGATACATGGCTCTCACCAACTTTTGCATGAATTTAAATTCTTCCTGGGAAAGAAATAATTTGTTTTAATACATAGGCGAAGTTACAGAGACTATTATTTGAGGTTTGATTCTGGTGAATCACAAAAAATTGATCTAAGCAAGAACTTAGAACAAATTGTGATCCACATTTATTTACTGACGAATGCTGTTTTAACTTTTAAATAACTTATTTACATCATTTTTCTGAGTTATGTTCTAATACTGTTGAGGTTTTATATTGATATCTAGCGAGTTTCCCTCGCTCCGCTCGGGTTCGTCTCTATAATTAACCGACTTCCAAAAACGAAGACGTTCTCAATTCGTCGGTTTTTTTATGTATGATCACCGATTACTCGAAGACGCCTGAATCGATTTTTGTTTTGTTTCAAAGGATATACTTCCCAGGTGGTCCCATGTAAATTTTAACGAAATCGTTTGAGTTTTAAAAAGGGTTTTAAAGAGGGTTTTTAAAAAAATTAACAATAAATATATTTTTTTTAAATAAATTGCTTAATCGAATATGTTATTAAAAAACTTTCTTCTTACAAATTACCTGCTTATTACGTCTACACTAAAAATGGAAAAATAAAAACTTTTTAACAAAAAATAAAAACCGACTTCCAGGCACTAAAATGTAAAAAATAACTAAACGGAGGTTTTCATTTAGAATAGATACCTAATCAGATATTTTCGAAGTAGGTGCTAGCCTACAATATTCTAAGATCATATCGAAATGTATTAGATTTGCTTTGCATCGGCTGCAATGCTTGTTATAAATAATAATATAACTTACTATTGACTTCGGTACAGCAAGCGTAGCGCCGTTTTCTTCACATCTTTTTTTAGCCACTTGCCATGTTTGTGACTGGTAAATTATTTTATAGCCGATTCCGGTAGATTCGTCGATGACGTAACCTGAAAATTAAAATTTGCCATAAATTAATAGTTTTTTTTAAATACATTCTGGAACCTATATATTTTTGGTGCTCAGTATAAAAAATGATTCATAAACAAAGAAATTAACGTTCGACTACTAAATAAAAGCTTTTCTCGAATTTATGAAGCGCCGTGTTTTATCATACAGACGCTAAAATATGTATTTTTATATTATACTTTCACTAAAATGGAAATATTGGGTGTTCTGTATTGGTTCCAATTCAATACTTTGGTCTTGTGTGTATGTACTTTGAATATTAAAACATAAACCACGGGATCGATTGTATAAATTTTTCCATTCATACGCAAGTACCAAGCGTAGGGACGATAACTAGTGGTCATGGTCCTACTTCAAGCGGGAATAGAACTTGCGATCTTTGGTATTGAAGACATTCCATATGATAAATAATGCAAATACCTACCATTTAAGTACGACGACCAAACTTTTAACAATTTGAAATTTTAAGCTATTTAGATAAAATTATTAAGTTTCGTTTTAACAAGCAACAAACATAATTTTGAATCCTTGTTAAATACATTGTGTTTATTGCGTACCCACTAAAAGTTGGAGCACTAAAAAGTAAAACTAAATGACATGTACTGTACTTTTAAAATCAGTAGTTTTGTTCGCTTTAAAGTCTGAACTTGATACTTTCGAACAAGTTGATAGCGCCAGCAAAAAAAATAATTAAAATATAGTTTCATAAATTTTTCCCATCTTTGAATTTATTCCAAAAAAAAACCATTCGCTTCCACCATGAACATATTGATCAGTATAAACATACGGTTAGTACCTACAATTTTTTATCTTTAAACGATTATCGAATCCACTGCTTTCGCTATTGTGTCAGGACATTAATTAGCCTTTATCATATTATTTAGACTAAAAAATATCTCTATAGGAAAATTAAATCGATTCCTTGTTTCTTTAATATGTGAAGGAAGAAAGTAAAAAGCTGATGAACTTTAAAAAGTACTTTAAAAAATAAAAATAAAATATTCTTTACTTGAGAAAAGATTGATTAGCCATACAAAATTCCACCTCCCTAAGGAATGATTTTCGGGGTAACAACTATCCTATGTCCTTTCCAGGATCTCAAGCTATCTCCATACCAAAATTCATCTAAATTAGTTCAGCGGATTAAGCGTGAAAAGTTAACAGACGGACAGACAGTCATAGTTACTGTCGCATTTATAATTTTAGTATGGATAGATATATTTTTATGGCGACAGTACAATAGTACTTACCGTCAGGCGCCTCGCATCGGATGCAGGTCAGCGCAATAAAGAATGTGACAATCGTAGCTCGCCTGCAATCAGACGACACTCGTTACGGCATTGGCTTTTATTTTTATTTCCAGAGATACGAGCGTGTATGTACGGACATAATGAGTAGATTACTGTTCTTAGTTTTATGTTTTGATAGAGTTTTAACTTGACAATTGTAAATGTTGCAATTACTTTTTCCGTTTTTGACGCGTCGTCAGTCTTCCATCTGTTCTTTTCAAAGATATAAATTTATTGCAATGTTTTTTTTGTGTGTATATCAGGCAATATCTAAGTAAATTGTGATCTTTTAATTAGGTTATATTGAAGGGTCCCATATAAATTCGAGAAAACTGGTCCACCCCTAAGAATGCTTCGCATTTGCCAGATTTTTTATTACTCGTAAATCAATCTACCCTATGCGAGGTAGATTTAAAACGTATAGATCCTTTACTCTTTTTTGGTTTCGGTTTTTTCACTAGTATCTAAGGGATATATGTAGGAATATCTTTAATTTAAAATAATTGCTTCAATAATTTACTTGTATTAAAGCATTAAAAATATTTATTTAAACACGTGTTAACTGCTAAGATGTGAGTAGATGGATGAAATAAGCTATTATTTTATTCATCTAGTATTTGAATAAAAAAGCTCCTTTGAAGTTCGTGCAGACATTTTCCATTAATGCCTGATTAAAGAAACGTACAGATACGACGACGACAACGAGACGTACGTGTAGATATTGCCTTTACTATATAATAAATATTTTTCAAAGATTTTTTTTTTATAGATTTTGTTTCCATAGCATGCTCTACCGAGGTCCAATGTTCGTCGTTTTAAAATATTTAAATAAATTATGGAATAACTTACCTCATTTTAAGGATAATACTGCGTGGTATGTTTATTTCTTTCTAAAACAAAGAAAAATTGTCAATATATTTTTATAATACTTCTTTTACTTTTCACAATAGCCTAAACCTTTGCTGCCATGATTGCCAATGATTTGCCATTTGCGCAGAAGATATTATAATGCGTGAGCGCATACAAAATACACTCCCTTAGTGCGGTGGGACAAGAATTCAACACAACCGAAAAGAGATCTAAGGCGAGGCCGTAGCCAAAACATATACCTGTCTCCAAGGCACGGGTATTTTTAAAGACTTAGATTTCTTTAGAATATTCAATTAATTAAAAAATCACGTCTGTTATATTCTACTTTTATTAATTTATTATCCTGCTTTGAAAAAGGAGGAGTTACCCACTTATTTCAACGCGTATTTTCATTTATTATATCGATGATCATATACATATTTGACTAATTATGAGTCAATATTATTATTATTTTATATAAGCTATTTATAAACATTTCAATTACATTACAACCATTCGTGTTATTTAAAGCTGAAGGAAACAATCCACTTATAATTCATTCATTCATTCATAATTAAATTTGAGTTTATTAAAAACGTCTTAATATTTATTTGGTTATTGTATTTCATTCATTATTTATATTTTGTTAACATTTTTATCTGTATCAATGTTTGAGGTCAAAAAGTCTACAAATTCCCACTTCAAACAATATGAGAGACATGTGCCGAAATAATCTTACTATTTACTTCATAAGTAAACATTTCATGATCATTGTGGTATTTTGTATTTTGATTTGTCATTAGTATATATCTCTATATACATCAACTAGCGACTCAGTTGCTCGGGTTCGTCCCTAGCTTGCTTCCCAATACAAACTTTAACACCCATTTTCACTACCTTAAGGAATAATTTCCGGGATAAAAAGTCCACCTATGTCCTTCCCAGGGTTTCAAACTATCTTCTTACTAAATTTCATCTAAATCGGTTCAGTAGATCCAGAGTTTACCTCCTACAACGTCACAACCTCACAAACTTTACTTCTTTATAATATTAGTGGGTATAGATTATATTCTTTTGTTAATTAATAGCTTAAAAGTCTATATACATATGTTACATTTTAAAAAAACCCGTGATCATGACATACCACAATCGCTTCTGTTATTTTTGAGCCTACATTCAAACAGTCTATTTGTTAAGAAAACTTCTTGCCATATTAATTACGTATTATAATTGTCTCTGATAGGTTATCAAAACTGAGTAAACCTATACGTTCCTCTATCGTTATTCTACTTATTGTGAATGTTAAGTTCAAATTGTTTGCGTTATTTGAATGCGTAATATATTTTTGTTTACAATTTTGTAAGTATGTTTAACTATTAAATGACACTTGAAGAAGACGACACTACCAAATAAGGATGGAGATTTGGGTCAATTGAGCAGTAATGCTTTATTGGTTTAGTGGCTAGAGTGTCCGGCTATAAATTTGGAAGTCCTGTATTTGAGTCCCAGGTCGGGCTAAATATGGTTATGGAGTTTATTCGTTGAGAAATCAGTAACAGCCCGAAGTTGGGAAATTGTAAAAACCTCCGCTTCGAGGAGCACGTAAAGCAGTCGCCTTTTCTTTTATCAACGAATTGTCTTGTTTTCCCTCCAGAGTTTAAAAGTAAAAGGAAAAGATATTTCATTTGAATTTGTACGGATACTTGTGCACTATAATATTATTTTCTGCGCAAATGGCTAGTCAAGTGAGGTATGTTGGCGTGGCCGAAGTCGGTCAGGAGGGCATTCTATGTCTCTATGTAAATCATATTGGCAAAAAATATTCTGACAGCATTCTATACGTTTAAGTTTTGAATTATTCGAGTATAGTAATATTTGGCATTTATAAAATGTATTATACATACATACAATTATTATAATATCTCTAGTAATCAATATAAAATCACAGCTGGTTTACGTATAAGCTAAATTGCTACAAAAGCAGTGGGACGTTAAAAAAAAGGGCTGCATACATACTATACATTTAAGTACTTATTAACAATTGTGTTCAGTCAGACCAACCTTATCTGTACACTTGAATTTTCATTCTTTTATTATGTATGGAGTATGACTAATATTATTAGACTATTATTTTTATCAAATAAACTAAGCTTATATCGTAATTTTGAATCATGAACACGGCATACCCAGTGCGTGTAAGTAATGTTTGAGCAGGGCCTTATTGATATTAGCATGGATGAACCGATCCGACTGAACACTTTCACATAATTACATATAAAGTAACTTATATATATATATATATATATATATATATATATATATATATATATATGTGTGTGTGTGTGTGTGTGTGTGTGTGTGTGTGTGTGTGTGTGTGTGTGTGTGTGTAAATTAATTAGGTATTAATAATTAAACAACTAAGCATAATATAGTAATAATATAAACCCTAGAATATAATAATATTAAGCGTAACCTTATCTAATAAAGCAAAAATAACCTAGTTAAAAATATATATTATCAAATAAATACGAGCGACTTACTGTGTCAGTTCTTCTTGCAACTCCAAACAATTACGATTCGAAATCAACCAACTTTTTAGTACTTTCACGAAAACTACGATTTGCCTTTAAACATAAATATATTTAAATAACAAACGTTTAATAATTAAAAAAAACTTAAAAATACTGTTTAAATAAATTAAGAAATTAATTAATAATTAAAATAATTTATGGTCGGGAAAGTGCGTTCCAATCGAAGACGCTACTGTTACTGGCTTACATATTATGTATGCAACGGTAAAGTACAACGGTATTTATAATGTTTTCTTTTATTTATCTATATGTACCTATAATATGTATAAGTGTATGATAAAGATGCTAAAGTTTTGTATTGGTTATCTGTACATAAAATATTTTTTGGAAAATCTTGTTGAAATATGTAATTTCAATATATCTATTATCGATACATAGGCCGAATCTATAGTTTTTAGAATTTTTGTCTGTCTGTCTGTTGTGACCGCGTCACGGAAAAACCAATGGAGGGATTTTGATGAAATTTGGTATGATGATAGCTGGTTATATAGTATACTGTTCACTGCGGGAAAATATCTCATCTCTGAGAAATCTATATTAAACGCTAAAACGTATCTAGGACGAACCCGAGCGGAGCGTGGGTGAGTCGCTAATCTTTCTATAAAAATGTACTTTTAGAGAGTTTTCAATAAAACTATCTTTTCGGATTTTTTCGCGGATTTATTGTTATTTTTGGTTCACGACGTTTCGAATGCTTTCCAACAATCAAAGTCCCTAGTCCCTAGGACCCTATTGTTCAGTAAGGCTCGCCAATTTGACAATGAATGACTTTGAGACGACTGTATATAATTACCGTTAAATTTAATTTTGCACTTTCCTTCTAAATTAGTCACGATCGTTATTTCGCTAGCCTCAAGTTCCTCTCAGGGAATAGATTTCCCCGGTGTCCGTTTTCCGAATTAAAGACTGGGGTTTACGGTTCATATTTAATATAGGTACTTTTATACTGCCAACCGATTACTTAATAATAGCAGTTCTATATTATATTTTATTGTCAGTAAATACTTTGATTATTAATAGAAATAATGTGTTTTTCGCGCAAAATTGCTCCCTGAGGCACATGCGTGTAAGACCATGCGTGTAACTTCCATACCCTGGGCTACTATTGAGAATTTCTTGACAGAAAAATCAAGTGATATTGTTACTTTATTCGACCCGGGACTCGAACCCAGGATCTGCGAATCAGGAACCGTGCATGCTAGCACCTAGACCAATGAGGCGGTCAACTTTGATCTTTAATTTTAAGGGGAGACATTACCTGTCAAAGCTAGTTCTCAAACTTGCCAATACGGAATCTGGTCAACGCTAATATATTAAAGTTAAATTGGATTTGAGTACTTTACTCCAATATTTTTCCAAATCTAAAGTAAAAAGTAATCTATCTATACATATAATAAAATTGAATTGGAAAATTTCTCATTTCTGATAAAAACTACAAAGACTAGTTAGCATAAAACCACGATGATACTATAAATATTTTAGTAAGATAACTTACTAAATATGGCAAAAAAAAACTATTAAATTTATTAATATAATATTATTTTATTCATTGTAATAACTCCAAAAATATGTATTTATAGGTATGTTATTAAGATATTCGTCAATAGATGTCGCCATGTGTTTTTAAAATATGTGGTTTGAATTAAAAAAAAAAGAATGTACAGATAATATGACTTTTCTATTATTTTATTAAAACCACTACTAAATTACCCGCGGCATCGCCCTTATTCAATTTAATAAAACAAATTTTTTAGCTTTATAAATTAGTAGCATATTAATATTTTAGTAATATTTTGCTGACTGAAACAAATTTCAAATGAAAATATTTATAAATATTTATTGTTAAGTAAATAATGTTAATGTTTATAAATCTTTTAATGTAAAAATTGGGCAAAGGCAAGTCTAACTCGAGGATTATAGGTTTCGTCTAGCAAATAGTATAAATGTGGGAGACATTAGCTAAAAACAGATTTTATGGCAGGTCTAAATTAAAGAAGTCTAAAAGCTATTGGAAGTTTATGTAAAAGTCTATGTATTTGTTGCTAGAGATATAAAAATGAGTTATTTTGATTACTCAAAATTTAACTACGCAAGTAGAACCAAGCAACTTGTTACTTATATTAACATACCTATATTTTTAAGTTAGCTAAAGGTTTTAATTTCTGCTATTTTATTCAGCCTCTTTTAACGTCCTATTGCTGGGCATGGGCCTCCCTTAGATAAGGTATCAAAGGGAGGTGACAAAGGTTCTCACAGACATGCAGGTTTCTTCACGATCCTTTCCTTTACCGTAGGATTGGTGGTAATTATGTTGAAAATGATTCGCACATGAAAATATCAGAGGCGCGAGACCCGAATTTGAACCCACTTCACTTGGTTTCCCAACCGAGCACGTTACCACTTACCACTGGGCTACCACTGCCTCGTGTAATAAATAAGTCATATTATTTGTGAATATAATGCCGTTGTTTCTTTGTGTATAGCAGATTTTTGTTAAATATTTAACCTAATACAGTATGAGGTAAAAAGTAAGCAAGTATGCTTTGTTCTTAAAAGTTTAATTCCCAAATCGTACATAATCCCCGATAGATATTGACCCAGTATAAAAGAGAGAATATTTTAAAATGCAACGAAATGTCTGTTGTCTTCTAGAAAGACATTTTACGTTGAAAATTTAATCAAAAGAATTCTTAAACACGTCTCAGCTTAGATATAGTATATGTACATATATGACTACGCTAAGCGACTGCATATATTTTAGGGTACGCGTGCATTATATCTCTTTGAATGGTATAATTGTATTTTTAAAATTGTGCATTACTTTTTGGACAATTGTAACATTATTTCTAGGTAAATTCAATCTGACTTGAAATATTCTATTTATGCAAAATTATATATTAAATATATAATATATAAAACTAGTGGTAGTGACTTACTTTACTCGGGTGCGTCTCTAGGTACATCCCTAGGTACGCACATAGCGTTGAGCTACAGTTTAATAGGAAGATCTTTTTAAGAGGAGTAATTCTTAATTTTTATTTTTTATTTATATTTATTTTATTTATATGTATTTTTTCATACTTTTTTATTTATTTTTATTTTAATGTATTTATTAGTTATAATATCATTTATTCGTTTTTGCGGAGCACGCCAATAAGGCTCTCAGTTGGCATAAATTTTTCCGACATCTTTATAAAATATTAATGAATAATATACCTACACCTTCCTCACAAATCACTCTATCTATTGGTGAAAACCGTATTAAAATCTGTTCAGTAGTTTTTGAGTGGAGAAAATTTTATTACCATTTAAGTATAATGTGCCCTAACCTTAAAGAAAAATGCATTACTAGACACGCGACATAAAAGCGCTTTATATTTGTAACGCATTCTGTGACTAAGAACTGGAATATCTTAAATACTTACTTAGTGTGCCAATATAGAATAAAAAATTATAACGTATAAAAAAAGATATAAAAAAACAAAGAAGAAAATATTAATTTTGTATCAATTAACTATATTTCTTTCATATAGAATAGGGAAGTTTTGTTCACAAATGACTGTACGTTTGTATTTTTAAATAATCAAATTAAATTTTATTTAATGATCGGCTGTTACATTTGTGATGGAATATTGGCAAATAACTAATTTTTACTAGAATTTATGAGATATTTTGATGACACTGTCTGAAGTATATATCTTGCAATAAAACAACACATTCATAAAATAATTTATTAAATTAAATTAACCATACGAATAATGAAATCCATGACCAGCTCCATGTCCCCCAAACTGCCATCCAATGCCGTAACCACCTAAGGGGTTCCTATACCTATTTTCTTCATCATTGCTAAGCCTATATGAGATCATCGGTTCACTCACTCTATGCAGAGGAATAACTGTCAAATCGTGAACTGGTACCAAATTGTGAAATGTTAAAACTTTATTGTTATTTTGAGACAGGTTTTCATGTACATGCTGTACATTAGATAGAGGTATAACGTGTAAATTAGATAAATATATCGGATGTTGAATCTGCAAAGATAAAGATCCCTTCTTTTTTCTATTTGAAGGTATGGAGTTATGCTCAATCGGTTCGTGGATGCTGTTCAGTGGTATAATGTCTTTCGATGACCTCTTGAAATGATTTGGTAAGTTGGTGACTTCGTAGATGTGGACTATTAGTAGTAGGATCATGAAGTTTTTTGACATCTGAAAAAATAAATAAATATGTGAGTTTTTTTAATATTAATCTTAGTCAGATCTTAAATTTATCTATACATATTATAAAATTGTAACCAAGCCTAATCTGTACATTAAATATTTTTCGAAAAATCTTATTGAAATAGACATTATTATCGATATAGAGGCCGAATCCGAAACCGCATCACAGAAAAACCACTGGAGGGATCTTACTGAAACTTGTTATGGTGATAGCTGGTTATCCGAGTTAACATAAAAGATAATTTTTACCGTGAGAAAATGTCTCATTTCTGAGAAAAAATACAAAAACTGCAATGTGACAGTATACTAATATGTAAAACCTAAGAATTTGGTTTTTGGTCATCTAAACGCGGGCGGAGCCGCGGGAAATGCTAGTTAATTGATAGAATTATAAACATATAGAGTATCTTTCTTGGTTGCTTGACATTTTGTTACTTAATAATGACATTGTATTAGATACTTAATTCTTGGATTTGTAATTAATAAGATAAGATTTATCGGACAAAGTCTATAAAACGTTTAAAAAACATTCAAAACCTACAATAATATTTACCGAAAAACATGACGATTAGATAATAACGAGAATCGTTGCGTATTAGATAGGTAAATATTTACTTTATTAAAGATACCAAAAATAACATAATTAAAAACTTAAGGTTATATGAAGAAATATAAAAGTTTTTATAAAATCACGCATTTTCGATGTGATCATTGATTAAATAACTTTTAAGATCAATCTTCAACTGTATTTAACCCGATATCAGTCAAACGACATTCGACATAAAAAAAGATAAGATTTAAAAAAAATCATGTTATATCAGACTGAGAGCAGACATGTCTATCGTGGCGGCTACATGTTCAGCGAATATCACTTATCAGTGCATTGTAACAAGTGTATTTTTAACTGACTTCAAAAAAGGAGGAGGTGCTCAATGCTGATATTTTTTTTTGTATGTACGGGTATAACTACCGTCATATATAGACCGATTTGCGAAATTCTTTTTTGTTCGAAAGAGGTTTCAGAGGAGCAGAAAGAGGTCCTATTTAAATCTAAAAAAAAATACAAACCTAAGTGTAGAAAATAGGGGTGATTGATTTTTCATCTACTGAATTTTCAAACTATTTTCTTTTTATTTTGCTACTACTATTTCTACACTAAAAATGGAAAAATAAAAACTTAAAAAAATAAATAAAAACTGACTTCAAAAAAAAAAACAATAAAATGTAAAAAATAATAATTGATTGGTAGTTTTCATTTGCTATAGATACCTAATCAGATATTTTCGAAGTCGGTGTGCATTTATTTGTATCGGCTGGTGTTTTTCTACTTTTTAGTGTTTTTTTTAAGTCGGTTTTAATTTTAGTACACAGATAGACCTGGAGTAACACATATGCTTTATTATTATCTTAGATCTTTTTTTCTTTTTAGAGCATTTAAATAAAAGCTTGTTATTAAAAGTGTTTTTTAATATTAATTTATATAATATTGCAAAAACAAAAGGCACCAAGGGATGTAACCGAGCGAAGCGAGGGTAAATCATAAAGTAGGAGATATAATTAATAAGAATTCCCCGAAGCAAGGAAATCGAAGTCGTTATCTCTGCCATAAACATTACCAGTTACACTCGTGCAGCAAAAAATCTGCTTCAATAGATTAGAATAGATAGATCTTTTTACTTATATTGTATTACAACTGTTCTTTTCTTTCAACAATTGACAGTCAATGAAAATTCCAATTTCAGGAATATATGTACATCTCTGCCACATCTTAAAGTGGGGCTAAACTGACAAGAGACAACTGACGGCGCTTGTTATTCAATTTGTCAAGTAACTCCCATTTCGCTGGCATTCGTTTTGTTTCTTGGAAGCATGTTTATTACGCATGTTTGAATGATGTGCGAAATAATATATTTAAAACTAGCTATGCGTGCAAGCTTTGCTTAGGTATAAAGTATATAGCATATTTAGAAAACATAACATAGTGAGTTACATCTAACATAGATTTGACAACACGTTTGGCTCAGTTTGTAGTGACCCTATTTTCTGAGCCAGCGGTCGCGGGTTCGAGTTCCGCTGGAGGAATCATTTGTGTGATAAGCACGAATGTTTGTAATCCAGTCATAGGTGTTTATATTTATAATATGTATGTATGTATTTAAAGTTATATATGTGTGATGCGGTATCAGACAGACAAACAAAAATTCTAAAAACTATATTATATTTGGCCTCTGTATCGATAATAATGTTTATTTCAATAAGATTTTGCAAAAAATATTTAATGTACAGATTCGACTTAATTACAATTTTATTATATGTATAGATATATTTTCACGTAGATAATTAACACTCTTTTTAATAAGTCGGTGAAAAAGCTTACAGTACAAAGTTAAACCCATCAATCTGTCTCCATATAATCGCGTATCAGGTGCGGCTTAATGAAGCTCGCAATAATTATCCGACAAGTGATTTGTGGTCGGTTTATATGGAAAATAAAATAGGTCTGAAGAGAAATAAATATTATGTTTTCTTCACAAGTGTACTTATATAGTTTTAGTTTAGGTAAAACAATTATTAAGTTTCATTTACTACATCTATACATATAAATAAAATTGAAGTGTTTGTTTTTTATGTCAAAATTACAGCGCTTTACTAAATGCATAAGAAATTATTAAAAAAACAAATTTTAATTTTTTTGTCTGTCTGTCTCTCTGCTTGTTACAGCTAATTTCTGGCTGGACTGATTTTGATGGGACTTTCACTGGCAAATAACTGATATTATAAGAAGTAAAATAGGCACTTTCATTTTAGAAAAATAATTAAGGTTTCGCTAAAAAAAATCTAACGCATCCGAACGAAGCGAGGGTAAGTCGTTAGTTCAGTCGTCGTTGTCATTTATGACGGTGCAAGTGACAGTTACAATTTACCAGAATAATTAGGAATGTGGTAATGACGAAATCGAATCAATGAAGCATTTCTATTCTAGATATGTATAGAGAGGGTATTTAATATTTTAATCGTCAACTTTTTTGTTGTTATTTTTCATTTATTAAGGTCAAATTGTAAGTATCATTATACATTTATTTGAATTAAACTAATTTTCTAAATTACTTTCGTTTTGTTTCGAAAAAAATTTTAATTAAAAAGTTAATTAAGATTTTTTAATGAATCCAGAATGTAAAGCTGAATGCAGAAAAAAATAAGCTTCAGTTTTCTTTCTCTTTTGTACCTCTGTTACCTCGTTACAGAAGAAAAAAAATCGCACTCATGTCGTTAGGATTTTGCAGCACTATCTCCAAGCTTACCACACTAATAAATATTTGAGCGTGGAAACGCACATAGTTTAATATTTGGCGCCATTTTGTTTGTCAACGAGCGTGACACTCGAAACTCCCGATAATTTAATTAAAAAGCTACGTGAGCCACTTTAAGTATTTGTTATTATTATTTTCTTTATTAAGTAAGTAATTAATCAGTGTTGTTTTAAAATAATGCTTATATGTATGTGCTTTGCTTTTTAACGTTTTAGTCTGTATTTTTAAAATTAATATTGCTTATTTTAATTTAATACGAGCCTCAAATATAATATTAGTAGGGTTAAAATATCTTTAAAATATTTCAAATTGTTCACAAACAATTTTCGTAGCATTCAGGTCGCTTAAATGGCTAGCGTTCATAGATTTTTGTTGATGACCCCCGGAAATTCCATCAGAATTTAATCCGGTCCTAGCATCCTTGATTAGAGCTGGGCGTCAGATCTCATTTGCCTTTTGGCATTTTAATGAAGCAGCCAATGGGTAAGTACATAAGGAGATTAGTTGGTTTCTGGCAAAGGAGCAAAGGCATAGTAATAGAGTGGTTGAAATTCTGTGAATTGTGATTGCAAGCCATATCAAGTGAGAGAAAATAGAACCAACATATACTCGTAGTATATAGAAAATTTTTAATGTTCTTAATTCAAATTCATTTTCACAAGCACTCTCAAATCTATTTTATCTATAATCTAATACATTCATAACAAAAATCTGAAAAAAAAACAGTCAATTCAGGACGAAGCTACCACCAGTTCTGCTAAGAAAAGCCGATTGGAACTCAACATGTAGGTACTCTTACATAATTATATAAATTATTAATAGGTATTTATACTATAATTGTTCTATAAAATACTAACGGCTCCGTTTTTCCATAGCACTTCTCATAATTTTTCAGTATAAATGAAAGCAGATCTATAAATAGAGAAAGACATAAAAACATAAAAAAAACGACTTCTACGCACTAAAAATGAAAAAATAACTGAATGACTTGTACAGTTATAACTAAGTGTACATTTTTTTTTTGTATATATAATTAAGAATATTTGTAATTTTCTTGATTGTAAATAAAAAAAATTTCTCCAAAAAAAAAATTGAATGGGAGTTTTTATTTACCATAGATACCTAATCAGATATTTCTGAAGTAGGTGCCAACGAACAAAAGAACCTCCTTTTTTGCAAGTCGGTTGAAAACAGTTAAGTATGTATCTTTATCTCCATTATTGTTGTCAACCGATTTCCTTCTATTTTAGAAGTTATTGATAACATGAGCTTCAGTGTTATCAATTGAATTTCGACCACTAGACGAATAAGAGTTAACGTAAACAGACTTAAGTATCAAATGGTGCTAGATATATTTAGAAATGTTTTACTCAAACGTTAATGAATCAATTTACTTTGAAAAGAAAAATGAAACACAAATCTTCTCTTTATTTAGTAGTTAAATGTGGATGAAGAGCGTGCTCTCACAGCGTCTGTCGTATATCCTTTAATTAAGGAAAACGCGGAGTTAGTTTAGCGAAACAAAACAAGAAAGCCTTCTATTTCATATTTCTATCCACCATTTGAAGACGAGATTAAGGACGTAAGATAACTTATACTCTTTTTTAGTTAGAGTGTAGTTGACTTTCGAAATAATAAAAAATAAAACTGATCAGTTTGTATCGCTCAATTTATTTT